TGATTCTGCTTGTGGGCTCTGAACATCTAAAAGACTTCACCTGATCACACAGGGGCTCCCTCAGGCCTGCAGTCAAAGTGGCTCCAGGTCCACAGCACAGAGCACAACACAGAGCCAGCAGCATTTGCCCCTCAAAGTCCCTGGCACCCTCTGGCTCCACCTGTGCCCTGTAAGGTTGGCCCATGGGGGCAGGAAGAGCCCAGGGCTGTTTGCTCCTCGGCAGCTCTCCAGAAACAACCTGTGCACAAACAGGCTCTGATTTCCCCCAAGCTGTGACAATTCAGGCAAGAACTGACGTCCTCCTGCATGGTGACACCAAAGAGCTCGATCTGTGCAGCCTGACACACCTTCTGTCCCAACACTAAGGGCCAAAAACAGAGTCACCCCGTTATGGGAGCTCCTGCCAGGCAGGAGGACGTCCTGCCCCAGCTCCAGTGCCACTCACTTACTTTAAAGAAGAGGTAGAGCCCCAGGAGGGTACAACTGGCAACAATAGGAAAGCGAGCAGCGTCTCGGCTGGTAATGGTCTCTGGCATCTCTGAAGAGTTCTGGGGAGAGAAGGATAGAGCAGGAATGGATCAGCCCCCGCTCTGGCTTCACACCTGAGCAGGGGGTGAACATGCAGGGCTCCACTGTGGTTTTGAGAGGGACAAAACACCCACTGGCCCCTACTACATCTGGAGGTGAGGCTGTGTCAGAGGCAGAGCCTGAGCTGGAAAACACAAGCCTTGCCCTTGTCCTTCCCAGGGCAGCCACAATTTACTGCTTTTCTCCTCTTGGAGAAGGAAAAAATCCTGTGCTGGCATTGTTCCTTTCTCCCCTGCCCAGAGGGGAGCTGGGCTCCCTCACTGCTCACGCCCAGCCAGTCCCATCTGTGCCACCATCTGTGATCACCCTGTGCATGACGCGTCTCTCCAGCCACCTTCTCATCCCTCACCTTGCTCTTGGGACATTTCTTATGCTTCAAAGCCCCAGATTTACAAACTCCTTCCAAGACATCTTTGCATCAGTTCAACCAGCCCCTTTCAAGCCATTTCCCATGGGAGACCTTCAGCTTTCACAGGAGGCAGAGGGCTGCCTGTTTTCTGCCTGTTCCCTGCCCGCTCCAGGCCCAGGTAGCTGCTGCTCAGAGATCTAATCTCACTCAGGCAAACACCTGCAGCCAGCACAGATCGAGGGCACCTCAAAAGCCCTTGTGCAGCTTATCCCAGGCACAGCAGTTGTCATGCTGTGCCCAGCAGCACAGAGGTGCCCAAATTCCTGCCACTCCCTGCAGAACAAAAGAGGAGAACCCCCCGCCCTGAACCACGGCTGGGCTTTGCTCACAGTCCCCCACTGCCTGGGCCTCCAGAAGCCCCCCAAGATCAGCTGAAGCCCTTAATATGAGGCTTAAGGAGATTTTTAAAATAGTAATAGATCAGGCTGCGTAAAACAGTCCTTCCTCCTGAGCTACAGCAGCTCAACTGTTGGGATTTAAAAGCCTGCTATGAAATGCAGAGAACAGCGGGAGGAGTACCGGGACAGAACAGGGTGTGCAGGCAGGAGAGAAGCCCCAGTGCCGCGGGGCATAGCCACACACGAGTCCCCCCACCACAGCTCCTCTCGAGGAGGGACAAGGGACGGTTGTGTTTTGCAGCACTTGAATTTATCGGGGCGGTGAGGACGTGGCTGGAGAAGCCCCGGGGAAAGCCAGCTCTCTCCCCGGGGTCCCTTGCGCCTCCAGGGCCAGGGACATGCAGCTGCCGGTCCGCCCGTGGAACGGAGCGCCCGGGGGGGACCCTTGGGGAGGGGCGAGGCCTATAGGCCCGGCAGCCCCGAGCCGCGGGGGTACCTTGCTCTTGGCGCAGCTGACGGAGCGCAGCGCCCCGAAGAAGATGGGCAGCAGCGCCATGAGGACGAGGCTGCCGTAGGCCAGCGCCATGCCCTCGGGGGTGGCGGGCGGGCGGCTGGGGGTCCCGGCCCCGGGCGCGGCCCCGGCGGCGCTGCCGTTGTGCGCCGCGGGCTCCTCCATGGCGGCTGCTCCCACCGCGGTCCGCACCGACACGTCCCCTTACCGACCGGAAGTGCGTCACGCGTAGCGGCGCTGAAGCCGGCCCCGCCCCGGCGGCCCCGGTGCCAGGAGAAGGGCAGAGCCCGGCACCGCCGCCCCCGGGCCGGCCCTCCCTCCCTGCCCAAGCTCCGCTGTGTGAGGGGCGGCGGAAGCCCGAGGAGGTCCCTGCGGGCAGGGGTCCCGGTTTCCCGCAGCCCCCCGGGGACGGGGAGGTGGCAGCTCCAGGTGTCACCGACTCGAGCGAGTTGGGTCGGGGGCTCCTGGGCTGCCCTGGGATTTCCTGCCCTTCACCATTTCCCAAGGATCTGCGCCCCTGTTCTTGGGGATCCCCCTGACTGCTCCCAGCCCACCCGTGGTCGCAGCAAAGAGCCCCTCTGTAAAATGACTTATAAATGGCAGCTAATTCTCCCCACGCTCTGGTCCCAAATTCCCCTGGACCGGGACCAGGCCTCTGCTGGAAAATTGGCCGAAATGTGTGTTTTCCTCGCAAATACTCCAAGCCACTGGCAGCTCGGCTGTGCCACCAAGCCTTCTCCTCTTCCTCCTCGCTGAGGAGCAAAAATCGGTGAAGCACAGTGAAATGGTGCTGCCCCCAGTTCAGATCTGAGCCATGGGCAGGAGATGAGAGCACAGCAGGGATTATAACACAAGTCTTTAATTTTTTTTTTAAATGTCTTTTAAATTTTATATTTTAAATATAAAGAATCTATTTCAGGACCGGGGTGATTCATAGTTCCGTGTTTCAGGCGGAGGGCAGATGGGAAGGCCTCCTGGGAACCCCTCTCTGCGGGGTTGGCCTCCTGCCCGGGATGCTGCCCTCTCCCTGTGACTGCTGTTCCCAGAGCGGAGAAGGATGGGCAGCAGAAGGCAGTGAGCCCACACACCCCCCTGCATCCCACCCTGCTGCCTGCCACGGCCCAGCCTGGCACAGCACAGCTCCTGACCCCGTCACTGCCCCCTTCTGAACGCCAGCCTGCCTTGGGAATCCTCACAAAGGGCAGCGTCGCCGTGCAGAGCGAGATGGAGGAGTCGGGGGCTGCTGTCCCAGGGTGGCCACATGCCAGCGAGGAGCCAGCGGGCTCCCGGAGCAGGGTGGGGGGCACCGGGGCTGGTGGCACCATGGGATGGGGGGAGACCGTACTGGGGCTGGTGGCCACGCGGGGATGGATGGCATTGGGACCGACGGCCACCCAGGGACAGACAGCACTGGAGCCAGTGGCTGCCCAAAGGCGGATGGCACTGGGATAGCCCCGAGAGCACTCGCTAGAGCAGTTGGTACCACCAGGAGTGGGCCCAGATGGGGGCCACAGGCAGTTCCTGGCCCCCTGCCAGCAACTTCTCCTTCCACCCTCCCTCCTCCTTCCACCCCCTCTCTTTCCCAGCGCCTCACCGTGGCCCCCCTTGGCCTCTCCTCCCACTCCTCCCATCCTCCAGCACGGCCGCATTTTTCTGGGTTTGAGCTCATTCTTTCCACTCCCCTCTCTGCTGCCTGCCAACTTTCCATCCCATGGCCCCCCTCCCCCGTCTCCTGCCACAGGGAAACACCAGCTGCAGCTGCAGGAGGGACCAGCAGCAGCAAGGAGCCCCTGTCCCTCGGGTGCAGCCCCCACCGCCGGCGTGCCTGATGCTGTGTGAACCACAGCATCGCCTCCAGCAGCACCAGGAATCGACCAGCTGGGAGCACCAGGGAAGAGCAGTAGGAGCAAAGCAGCAGCAAGGATGGAGCAGCAATGCCATGGGCACTAAGGAGCATGGAAAAAAATCTGAACACCCACCTCCCCAGTTTCGAGGGCAAAGCTAGGGATTTTCACCTCTGGAGAGTCTAGTTTCCCATAGGGAGAAGGTGCTGCCCCATCCCATTGTCCCATCTGTGCCAGTCACAGCCAGTGGCTCCCCACAGTCTGACCACAGTGTGAGCAGAAACTCCCGACCTGCATAGGAGGGCACTGCTGATACTCCCTGGCATCGGGCCCGAGATGCTGAGCAGGTTCCCCCATGGAATCCCAGCTGCTGGATGGCAGCACAGCCTAAAAACAACAGGCAAAGCCCACACAGCTCCAGCATGGCTTCCCCGGGTGCCCAGGGTCACTCACTGCTTGCTGCAGCCAAGCACGTCCCTTCCTGGCTGTGCCATTCCGCTCGGCTCCTGCTCCCTGCCCCTTCCCGGGGCACCAGGAGCCACCAAGCACCTGGCTCCCTGCCCAGGCTGCAGCTCCCACAGTGCTCAGGGACTTTAAACCTGCAGCTCAGCAAAGCTCAACCTTTCCCACAGGCTTTTCCAGAGCTGGGAAATGCAGGGGGCTTCACAGGGGACAACGCTGGACCACTGGGTAAGGAACAGGGACCTCCTCCAAGGGTACCTGAAGGAAGCCCTGGACAGAGGCTGTCCTTGCCCCAAGATACTCCAGCTAATGAAGGAGCCAGCCAAGGCCTGGCTAAAGCAGGAAGCAGATCCTCAGCCCTGGCCATAGGCAAGGAACAGAGCTTCAATCTGACCGTGTGGATCTGGGATGTGGCTCCCCGGGGCAGGGACCCAGCAGAGAACAGCACCTCCCTGATGGATTTATTCTGCAGATCAAGGGTTTCCCCATCACATCAGTACAGAGAGAGCACAGAAACACTGGTGCCAGTGAGACATAGCACAAAGCCCTGGCACAGCACAGTCAGGGTGCCAGGTGATGCCGCTGGTGCTCCCCTACCCCTTCTTCCCAGGCTCCAAGCTGTCCAAGGTGGACAATGCCATGGTGCCCTTGCCAGTCCCTGCTGCTCTGCAAAAGACAGCATTGCAAGCAGGACCTGCCACACTCCTGGTAGCTTCCAGCCCTGCTCTGGGGCACAGCTACCCCTCACCTCCAGCTCTGCAGGAGCAGCTGTGATCCAAAATCTCACCACTCCAAGGGCAGGTACCCATCCCATCCCCCACCCCACATACCTGGTCCCATTTATCTTCTCTCCTGGAGGAGAGTGGCCAGATCCAGAGCACCCTTGCATCCCTCAGCAGTGAAAACAGTTCCACATCCTCAGCATCACTCCAGCCCTGTCTGAGCTCTCCACAGAGCCACTGGTCACACTGCAGAGAGCAGAGTCCCAGCTGGCGTGTGCGGAGGAACAGGACCGTGGCTCTCAGAGCACAGACAGGTCATGGCAGGACTTGGAACGGACTTTGAGGGCCACTTTGCTGCTGTTCCTGGCCACCAGCCTATCGAGGAAGTGCCGGGCTCTGCTGGTGAGGCTCTCCTTGTGTTTCTGACTAGTCGTGGGGTGCAGGTGGGACTTTTTGCCCCCTTGGCGCAGGCGGATCTGCCGCACCACCCCCTCGAAGAGCTCAGCCACGTTGTGCTGCAGAGCTGCTGACGTCTCAATGAACTTGCAGTCGAAGACGGCGGCGCAGGCCTGGCCCTCTGCAAGGGAAGGACAAGGAGGGGACACGGCCCTGCTGTCACCCCAAATGCTGTGGGACGGGCACTGCCACATGCACAACAGCAGCTGCACATCCAGGGACAAGGAGACAGATGTGGGGGAAGCAACTGGGCATGGAGCCCCTGCAGGGGTCTCCACCAGCCAGAACCTTCGCTCCCTACTCACCTTCCTCAGACACCTCTCGGCACCGCACCAGGTCAGTTTTGTTCCCCACCAGGATGATGGGGATGTCCTCAGCCTGGCGCGCGCGGCGCAGTTGGATGCGCAGCTCTGAGGCGCTCTCGAAGCTGTCCCGGTCAGTGACAGAGTAAACGATGATGTAGGCGTTCCCTACCTGCAGACAGTGGCTACGGCGCTGGCTCTCCTCACCCTGTCACCACATGGGGAATAAGATGTCACCAATCTGTGGCCACGACCACTTCCAGGGGACAGGAGAGCACTGCAGCACTGATGGAACCTGTCAGCGCACCCCACCAGACCCCACACTGTGGAGAACAGATGTGTTACCCTAATAATTAAATGCAGATTAAAACCTCTTGATTTTGAGGGGAATATTTGGGAGTTTTCCTCTATCAACAAACTGGGACTGTGGGCTCAGCTTGGTGTGGGGGGGTGAGGCTGAATCCCCTGGGAATGCTGTGGGACAGTGTGGTGGGTGCTAAACCCTGCATGATCCAGGCACTGCTGGGCAGTGTGGGAATAAGCTGTAGTGGTAAAAAAGGAGGCATTGTCGGGGTGTTATGGTGCTGGGGCATCTTTGGGCAGTGCAGGTAAGTGCCAAACACAGCCCCAGTGAATGTAGGTGCTGCACCCCTATCCACAGCTTGGGCACTGACTCCATCCCCACTCCTGGGGACTCACTGTGTGGTGGCACCTGCAGGAATGCAGGGCCCTGGCATGAAGGGAAGGAGGGAGGCATTTGGAGGGAGGCAGTGACAGCAACACTGGTATTTCTGCACAGGAGATACCTCATCTTCTGGGCATGAGGAATGTCCTATGCCAGGCTCTTGGGGGCACCATTCTGTCCAGTAAAGTGTTCTGGCTGGCCATACCGACTTGTGGATTTACCCAGTTGGATCCTTCAGCCCCACTCCCAAACCATTGCTATGCATTTTGAAGCGGGTTATCATACAAGAGCCCACACCAGTGAGGACACGGCAGGCAGCCTCCCATGCTTCAGGGAGGGTGGGCACAGAGCTGGGTAGAGATGTGACCCAGCCTGTCTTGCCCAGTGTGTATCCTGTGCTCCACTCTGGTGAGCCCCACACATAGACAGGGTGGCCCCAGGTTGCCCTTCAAAGCACTCAGAGGCCCCAAGACAGCACTTGTACCCATACAATATCACTCCAACACCCAGCCCCGCCGTACCCGCTGCTCTGGCTCCCAGGTGTCCAGCACCAGCAGCGTGGTCTCCTCGCCATCCACGGTCAGCCTGCGCTCGTACGCGGCCCCTGCGGGACACCACGAGAGCTCGGTCAGTGCCGCATTCCCTGACAGCAGCGTCCCGGGCTCCTCTCCGCCTCACACATGGCTTTGTCCCAGCATGGGGCCACAGGATGCCCCGCAGGTGACTCTACAGATCCCCCCACCAGGCACCCACCTCCGTGCTGGTCCAGCAGGTCCCTCTCCTGGACGCCGGCGAAGAGGTTGACCAGGCTGGTCTTCCCCACGCCGGGGTCACCCAGCAGCACCACTCGGTACCGGGGCTCCCTGAGCCTTAGGGAGCCCGAGGAGTCGGGGGACCAGCTGCCGCGGGGGGCCCTGCAGCCCGGCTCGGAGGCGGTGTGGCCGAGCTGGGGGTGACAGGGCTCACCCCGCGGAGCGGCCCCAGAGCCACCCGGCCGCGGGAGCGGGGTGCTGGCCCTCCGCCGCAGCGGGCTCCTGCTCCCGGGCTGCGTGTTCAGGGTCATCACCAGCACCAAGGGCAGGGGGGCCGCAGGGTGGGCGGGGGAGTGGGTGTCGCCCCGAGGGGCACCCGCACCCGGCAGCCCCCGACCGCGCCGCTGCGGCTCCTGGAGCCGCTCCCTCTCCGAGCCGATGGCAACTCGGGCACAACTTTCCCGGGACGCCCGCATCGCCGTCCGCCCCGGGCTTTAAGCCCCGGGAGGTGGAGCCCCTCGCCGCTGCGATCCTCCCCCGCTGGACACACCCCCGCCCGCACTGGCCTCGGCCCGGCCCAGCCGCCTTGTCCCGGTCCCCGAGGTCCCTGAGGTCCCCTCGGGGCTTGCGGTGCCGGAAAACGGCGAATTCCCCCGGGACCCGTACCGCGGTCACGGGGAGCAGCGGTTACGTGGGGATGCTGCGGGATGCGCTGCCGCGGGCGGGGGCTCCACCACGCTCCGGTCCTGTGTGGAGCAGCATCATCCCGGCCCCCGGCCGTGCTCTCGCCACCCCAGGCTCGGTTCCGCCAAGGAAGGAGTGAGCCGAGCCCGGTCCGGTCCTGCCCTTCCCACGGGAGGATGTGCTTTTTCAGGACCTGGAAGCCCGGAGCCCGGCTGTGCAGCTCCGTCTCCAAGATGCAGTGATGGAATATGAGGCTGGGGCTCTCCTGGCACGGACAATAGCAGGAGCTGTTTTTATTTGAACCTGTCTGTTGATCCCAGACACTGGCAGTACTGGCCAAAAGTGTCGTAGTGCAGGCACTGTTCTAACCCTACACTGGGTCACCAGTCCTCCCACACTGGGATATACTGGCAGAGCCTCATGACATCAAGGCTGGTCCCGGGACATCATGATCAGTGATGGGGAAGGCAGGAATGACAGTAACACCTTTATTGTGCCATAAAATCACATCAGCAAATGCCCAAGGTGCTGAACAGGCCTGGGGAGAAGAAGGGCTGAAGGCAATGGAATCAGCTTGGCACCTCATCTGAGCCTATCTGCTCCAGGCACTGGGCATGGGGCTGGCATCAGAGGAGCAACAGCCCCTTGGTGGGAATGCTGAGTACCCAGCATGCAGCTGAGAAAGAGGAGAGTTAGGAGGGCCAAAGCACAGAGGGGGAATAAGCCATTGTGCTTTGGCTGTTTCGGTGTGAGGAGGAGCAGGAGCAGGGTGACTGCTCAGATGGTCTGTGCTCAGAGGTGTCCCGTTCCCTGCATGGCAGTCCTGTCATCAGGGGGCACAGTGTGGGTTGAGGGAAGCTTGCCTTGTGTCAGCTGTGTCACCCTCTCTGTGTTCCCAGGGTCCTGCACTGGCTTTCAGTGGGGTCAGCCCAGATGCTTGTTCTGGGACCCAGGACCATGCAAGCACCATGGGGAAGAGGGAGACACTTTTAACCTAGGTGAGGGTATTGCCCAGCTCCTGTTTAGTGTAAACCAGAGCCAAACCTAACCCTCAGTTAACCCAGCAGTATTTTCTCATGCCTCATGGTCTGCCATAGTCACCGACCACTCTGCCAACCACCAAAATCTGTTCCAGCCCAAGCCCTGCTCCACCACCCTCAGACCACCCTCTGTATGGCAGACTCAGCTCTTGCTAGCCTTCCCAGAGCAGCAGAGCCAGACACAACTCCTGGGCTCTGAGAGGGAGAAGGAATGAACTCAGCTGCTTTCATTGTCAATCCTGAAAGACAAACAGAAGAAGAGAAAGCCTGTTGGAGCAGCCAGGTACATCTGCTTTCTCGCAGTGGGGACAAGTGCAGCAAGCTGGGCTTGCTCAGAGATGCCTCATCCATCTCCGTCTAAGCCAAGGACAAACTGTGCATCCAGAGTGTCCCAGCACAGGGCTCCAACCTACTGGAGAAACCCACCCAGGGCCTCTGGAAACAGAAGGATTTTTAAGGAGGGGAAGCTGAAATGCAGATGGGAATGGACACAGTGGGGTTTACAGCTCCTCTGGGCTCCACACACTGCCAGCGACATACAGGGACCCAGGGAGGGCCAGCACGAGCACTGTGGTCCTCTGCACCCTCACATTCCCAAGCTGAGCAATTTGTGGCTGATTTTGCTCTTTCAAGATGCAAGTCCAGTGTCTGGAAGCAAAGGGTTAATTAGCAAAACGAAGGACTGCTTATGTCGTGTGAAAAGTTGCAGGGAGGTCAGTGGGAAAGGGCTGAGGATGGTGGAGAGGGCTCTGGCATAGGCTCCCGCCTGTCAGGGCGGGTAAGCACCAAATGCCTGACTTGTGATGTTACAGAAACTTTCCACTTGGGCCTTCCTGCTATTTTTAACTCTTCTCCCATCCACCCTCAGTAACCCCAGCCCCACCAGCTGCTGAGGCTAATTAATTCCCCTTTTTTATCATTTTTTTTTAAACAACAGAAAAAAATTAAGTTCCACTAATCTATCACACAGCCACTCGCCTCCTCCCTCCTGACATGTTCCAGGCTTTCCTCCTCCTTCAGCTCGTGCCTCCATAGCTACAGCCATACCTGTCTTCCAGCTAAAACACAGACCCTGGTGAAGGAAATCCAGCCACCCTTGACACTCACACCCCTGCTGCTCTGCTGGGTGAGTGTCTGCCCCACAGGGTGATATTTTCATAAAAAAATGTGTGTGCACCCGGGGGGCAGGAGCTGGAATACACCAGGAAAGAATAATCCCATGAGCAGACCTCCCCCTCCCCCCCAGCACAGGTTCCCGTGTGTCACAGGGCTCTCTCCCTCATGGCAGGCTGATGGGAAGATCATCCCCACAGGGCAAATGGGATTCATTCTCAGAAATGGAATTGTTTGACATTTGTAAGATCAACACAGTGTCTTTAACCGAGGATGGAAAGCAAAGGTAACATGACTGTGTAGACTCATTTCACAGTGATGTGAGCAACTAGCTTCCCAGATTATTTTCCATTGTTTTTTCTGTGTCCTGGAGTTCTGCCCTCACCGTGTCCAGCCAGTTCTGACAGCAGGTCTGCACCACTGCCTTCATCCTCTGCACAGGGAGAAATAAAGCCACTGCTCATTCCTCAGAGCTGGGAAATGTCCCCTTGCACCAACCCTGACCTTACCCTCAGGCACTGCTGGTTGCACTGGCAGCACGGAGGAATTTGTCACACAGGAGTGGCTCTGGGAAGCAGAGTGGTGTTCCAGCAGCCGGCTGGAGGCAGGGATGGTATGGAGGAATGGATTTAGTAGGCTGTTGCAGAGGTGATACCGCTGATGGTCTATGGGGAACCCCTCCCAGCTCGCTCTTTTGTCCGCTTGGCAGCTTCTGTTCCTCCTGGGACACTCCTCCACTCCACTGATCCTCACCATCCTCTGCCCTCCGGGGACCCCCGGGCCCCATCGCCCCCCGGGAACCCCTCTTCGCTCTGGGAATGCCCCGTATCCCCCGTAACCCGAGCCGGTCCCCACGGCGACAGCGGGTGGGCTCGGGGACCGGGCGGGGCCCAAGCTCACGGGAACGGGCAGAAGGGACGCCCCCTGCCGGCTCCGCCGTGGCACCGCACCGGGAGACGATCACCGGGACGGGATCACCGGGACGGGATCCACCGGGCGGGGTCTGGGTGTCCGGACTGGGAGCGACTGTAGCAGCCCGAGAAGCCCGGCGGGACTGGCCCTGAGCTGCTCGCGGAGCGGCCAGGGCCGGGAGGGAGCAGAGGAACGGCCGTCCCGGGAAGCCCGGGTAGAGGCGGGCCCGGTGCACGGGACCAACGGGGATGGGCAGCTGCCTCCGGCCCCGCAGAGCTGCTCGACTCCACGGGAGTTCCGTGCTAATGCGCACGCAGCCGGTCCTACCGGCGGGGTGGCAGCGAAGACCGGAGGTGGGGGGAGCGGCCGAGCAGGTGCTCCGTGGCGGGGCCATGTGGGTGACCAGTGCCGGGCATGACCTCCGGCTATACCGAGCGGGAACGGCTCGGGGAGGCCCGGTGCAGAGCCGCGGTGGAGAACTGTGTTTTGTTCCCCGCGCGCCGCGGCTCCGGGACAGCGTGGGCAGCGCCCGGGGCTGCGGGCTGGGCCGGCGGGAGAGCAGGCCCCGGTGTCCCGGCTGGCCGCAATGTCGGGGCAGCCGGCAGGGTCGGGACAGGCCACATTTCCTGCTCAGAGCGCAGGACGGCGACAGCCCGCTGTGTCCGGTCAGTCGCGGTGTCCGGTCAGTCGCGGTGTCCGGTCAGTCGCGGTGCCCGGTCAGTCGCGGTGCCCGGTCAGTCCCGGTGCCCGGTCGGGTCGGGCGCGGCCCCGCGCGGTCCGCTGTCACCACAGCAACTGGCGGCGGGGGCTCAGCCAATGGGCGCGCCCCCCCCCGGGTCCGCGCGCGGCAGCGACAGCCAATGGGCGCGGCCCCCGGCGGGCAGCCCGCGGTCTCCGGGGCAACAGCGCCGCCGCCGCCGCCCCATTGGTGACGCCCAGCGGAGGGGGCGGGGCCCGAGCGGGAGGGGCGTGGCCCCACTCGTGGCACCGGGGAGCCGCGTGTCCGCCTCGTGGGCTGCGCGTTCCCCGCCCGGCGCTCCCGTCCCCGCCGAGGGCCGACCCACGGGGAGACGCCGCTGGAATGGGTGGCAGGGACGTGTCCACGAAGGCGTCGGTGTTCCCACAACTCGTGGCGCCGAATGTTGCGAGCCCTAGTGAGCGGCCCGGGGAGTGTTCCGAGCCGGGGCTCTGCCCGGACGAGCGAGAGCAGTGGATGTCCCGGGAGCCCCGTGGGCCGGCAGGGCAGGGTTCAAGCGCGGGGTGATACTCGGTGTTCCGAGCGGTCAAGACCCGTGCACAGGCTCCCGGCGAACCTCGAGGGGCGTGGGTTCTCCCGAGGGTGCGGATGTCAGGGTCACCGGGGACATCGGGGTGCCTACACCGGGGGAGCGGCGGGTTAGTGGCAGGAGCTGGAGCATCCTCGGGTGGGTGCCTGAGGACACAGAGGGGTACCGCCGTACCGGGATGCTTGTCTGAAGGTACCGGGTGTCACCGGGCGTTCTGTGCTGCGCGGTTCGGGGCACTGGGGGCTGCCGGCTTGCCGTGGGGGCGGTATCGGGGCCATCGGCGTGCCGGGGTACCAGGGAGTAGCGGGGCGTGCCGTGCCTAGCGGGGGGGAGTACCGGGGTGTGCCGGGTAGCCGGGCGGTACCGGGGGTACCGGGGCGTGCCGCCCTGCCATTCTCTCCAGCAACCCCTCTCGGCGAGCGCCCATTGGCTGAGCGGGATCTGCCCCCCCGCCACGCGGCCAATGGGCGACGGGGGGCGGGGCCCGCCATTGACAGACCCGGCGCGGCGGTGTTTACCGGGGGCGGCGGGGGCGGGGCGGCCGTGCCTATAAGAGCGGCACCGGGGGGCGTGCGGCTCCCGGGCTGCCCGCACCGCCCCCGCGCACCCCCGACCCGCACCCGCCGCAACCACTGTACACCATTCCCGACCGAAGGATCTGCCGACTTAACCGAGGAGGCATCACCGGGGCGGCGGGGAGCGGAGCAACCCCGGGGCGGAGCCCTCACGGTGTGCAACATCCCCGAGCAGTGCGGAGCATCCCCGAGCCGATACGGAACATCCCGGAACATCCTCGAGCCAGCGCCGAACATCCCCGGGTTGGTGCGGAGCATCCCCGAGACGGTACAGAGCATCTCGGAACATCCTCGGACCGGTACCAACCATCGTCGAGGTGCTACAGAGCATTCCGGAGCATCCTCGGACCGGTGCAGAGCATTCCGGGACAGGACCGCTACAGAGCATCTCCGAGCCGGAGAACACCGGGCCATCCCAGAGCCCTTCCGGAGCATCTCCGTGGCCGCCGCCCCGGCGGAGTCGGCTCCGCCGTGCGCCCCCGGGCCCCGTCGCGGCCGCCTGCGCCCCGCCCCGCCGCCGCCCGCTCCGCACAATGGGGGCGGCGCGGCGCGGCGCGTAGCGGCGGGCGGGGAGGCGGCGGCGGGCAGGGAGGCGGCGGCGGGAGGGGGGGAGGAAGAGGCGGAGGCGGCGGCGGCGTACCCGGCTCCAGGATGGTGCAGCGCGGCCCGCGGGGCCGGGGAGCGGAGGCTCGGCGGGAGCCCTGCACCCCACTGCCCGCCCGTGACACCGAGCCCGCCTGGTGCAAGACGCCGAGCGGGCACATCAAGCGGCCCATGAACGCCTTCATGGTGTGGTCCCAGCACGAGCGCCGCAAGATCATGGACCAGTGGCCCGACATGCACAACGCCGAGATCTCCAAGCGCCTGGGCCGGCGCTGGCAGCTCCTCCACGACTCCGAGAAGATCCCCTTTGTCAGGGAGGCCGAGCGCCTGCGTCTCAAGCACATGGCCGACTACCCCGACTACAAGTACCGGCCTCGGAAAAAGGGCAAGGTGGGCACCGGAGCCGCCCGCCCGCGGCTCCCAGTGAAGATCAAGCCCTCCGTGTTGGGCCGTGTCTCTGCCAGCCGCAGGCAGCCCTCCAAGCTGCCCAGCGGCCCCGACACCCCGCAGGAGCCCGCACCAGAGGTGCCCGCTGAGGACAGCCCTGTGGTGCCTGGCATGGCTGCCTGGCACCCGGCACCCGACGGGGAGCACAGCCCCCAGGAGCCCCCTGCACCCCTGAGCCCTACCACACCCTGCCCGGAGCCAGGGAGGTCCCCAGAGAGCGGATCCCCCTCTCCCATGTCGGCTGGGTCCCCTCCCTCTTCCTTCAGCTCCTCCGACGAGGAGCTGGAGGAAGAGCTGCTGGGGATCATGCCCGGGCGAGCACCTGCCAATGCCACCTGTGGTGCCCTGGACTGGTCCGTCTTCGACAAGGACCACGACCTCTACCCGCGGGGAGGCTCCTCGCACTTCGAGTTCCCGGACTATTGCACGCCCGAGGTGACGGAGATGATAGCAGGGGACTGGCTCATGTCCAGCATCTCGGACTTGGTCTTTACCTACTGAGTCCCACGCTCTGCAGGTAACGCTCATTTTTATTTTCACCCACAATCAGGTCATATCAAAAAACAACCCAGGAAAAAAACAAACAAACCGAAACCAGCTGTTTACATGCAGGAATCAGGTATTTTGCCTTGAAGCTGCTGGAAGGCAGAGCCCCTGCTCCCCCCATCCCCTGGCACACACCCATTCTCCATCCGTCTGTCTGTCCGACTCTCGCCTCGTGCCTGCGGGACGCATGGCCGCCCGCCGCGGCTATTTGCCCGTGAAATGCATCTCATCGGGTTTTCATTGTCACACCCGGCCGCTTTCCCCCATGGCCCCGGCGCTGACAGCCATGGCTGCTCCCGGCCGCTCCCATCTCTGCCAGCATCGTGTGCCCTCCCGCTCTCCAGGAAGCAGGAGCATCCACGCCACCCCAGCTCTTGGTGCCCATCCCACCTTCCCCATCCCTTGGAGAATGGCTGATTCCGTTTGGTTTTTGACTGCATTGAACGCATGGCTTCAATTTTCTCCTCTTCCTCTTTGCAGCCCTTGGGGAGGGATGCCGAGCCATGCCAAACTCTCCCTTCCCAACTCCCTATTTTGTGAGGGGTCCCTGGCTTGGGGGTTCAGTGTCCCACAGCAGAGTCTCCTTCCCTGTGGCGCCTGCTCCCCGCCACTGGCTTTGGGAAGAGTGAAGTTGCACACACGTGATGAGCACGTGGGCGCGGGAGGCTGTGTTATTTCTCTTGCCAGGCAGTTGTGCAGGGAAAGCTGTGCCACGGAGGGAGCCCGTGGCCGGAGCCACCCCAAAATTGTATGGGAACCAGCCCTTCACTAAGCAGCCAGCCCTCATTTTAACCTTGGAGCCTGTGCCCGTGTGGGAACTTCTTTGGGCTGGCTGACCTTGGCCAGTGGAGCCGCGTGTCGCTGTGCCCAGCCGTGGCATGTGGTGCTGCCGGAATGGCAGGGAGCAGCATGGAAGGGGAGGGTGGCAGGGAAGGGCAGCTGTGGGAAATCTGCCTTAAGCAACCACCCAAACTGGTCCAAGAGCAGCTGCAGCCAGTGCTGGTGGGCGTGTGCGGTGTGGGTGATGCTCTGGCACAGGGCTCTTCCACACAGCACCACGCTGGACCCCGCTGCCGGCCGCGCCAAGAGCAGGGACGTGCTGGCAGGGAAGATGCTGCTGCAGCGGCTCCTCCAGCTGGGATTTTCTTTGCTTTTCCTAATGGCTCCTTCCTGCGACAGCCGCCTCCTCCCACTGCCGGGAGCACGTGGCTGCAGTGGTGGCTCGGCAGCTGCCGCAGGCTGTGGTTGGGGGGGCAGGGGCTGCGCTCTGGTACAGCTGTGCTGGGTGGGGACCCCACACATCCCTGGGGACGTGGTCATGGCTGGGGCTGGCAGCGTCTGCAAGAGCAGTACTGGGCTCGGCAGCAGCCGCTGCTTGAAGCAGCCCCTGCAGTCCCCCATGACCCCGATTCCCAGGGACTCTGGGTTTGTGGGGGCTCCTCGGACCCTTCCCTGCCAGTGGGGTGCTGGCGGGAGGGGAGCACCCGCTGCCTGGGGCTCTGCCTCCCTGTTTTGGGGCTGCCGGTTCCCCCAGTCGCAGGCTATTCCTGTGCCTGCCCCTTGCTGTCAGGCTGGACTGAGCCGTGACCAGGGGAAGGACATCCCCCTCCCATGTCCTGACATCCCCTGAGGGTGCCTCGGAGTAGGTGCCTGGCCCTGCTGCTGGAGCCGCTGGTGGCTCTGGCTCAGCCATGGGGATAGGCACTGCAGCGCAGAGAAAGGTGTGTCCCCGGGCCCTTTGCAGGGATGCTTGATGTCCCCCAGCCCAGTCCCTGGGGGCCCCTCGAGGCCCCCCGCGATGGTCAACCATCAGCAGTGTAGATGTGTCGGTGTGTAGCGGTAGCTGTGCGTGTGTGTTGGCATTAGCCACGGTGTTTCAGTACCCCCGTGCGGGTGCCAGCCTGCGGAGCCAGGCGGGCATCACGCATCAGACACGTGTTCCCTGGATAGAGCGCGTCCTCTTCTCTGCGTCCTCTCCCTTCCCGGCCGACCCCCACCGGATCCAGTCCCGCCCCCAAAGGTGGAAAAGCCAAATAAGCGCCGGGACAGCCGTGATTCTGGCAGCCTGCTCCCGCCTCACCGCCGCCTCGGGGGGACTTTGCCTTCCTAGCCCCTGGGCAGCCCCGCGCCAGGAGCATCTGAAGCCCCTTCCCATGTGTGAGCCGGGTTTGGGGTTCCCGTGGAGTCCGGCGGCCCCAGAGCTCTCTGACACACATGGATCTCACCCAGCACCTCGGTGCCTTCTTGGGGTGCACAGCCACCCCATGCAGTGGCCAGGGGTTCTCAGGGAGGGCGCCCTCAGTCACCTCGGTCACCTGTCCTCCATCCCTGTCCATGGGGAAGCCAAAGCCCCCAGGTACCAGCAAGGCCTGAGGCCACACTGAGGGTCTCGCATCACACGTGTGCTTTGCTGACCCTGCAGCTCAGGGCTCAGCTTCCGTTCCTAGGGGGGACACAGGTCCCGGTGGTCCCCTACGTGCTGAGCATCACCCTTGAGCCAGGGTGATCCCTCCACAGACTGTCAGGCGAAATATTTCCTCAGGAGCAGGTTCTGGATCAGTGCCAGAACCGGAGCCAGTGCCGGGGTCTCCTGCCCTGGCCGCAAGCACAACATCATCCGCTTTGTCCCCGTCCTCACCCCTGTCCCCCTCCTCGAGTCTCGCCGGGTGTGTTTGTCAGGGAGAACCGTCGTGGACAGTGGTGGATTTTCTGTGCCGTGTGGTTGTAGTGCTTAGAGACCCCCCCAGCGTGCGGCCCCCTCCCGCTGCGCCCCCGCTGCCCGGTGCTGGCTGGCATGCGTGTGCGAGCGTGTGTGCGTGCGCGTGCGACATCCCGTCATCACTCCAGACAAAGCGAATAATAATAATAATAATAGTAATAATAAAAATAAACCAAACCTCTCTCAGGAAGCAGCTGCCCTGGTGGCGGCCGAGTGGGCCGGGGGTCCCCGGAGCTGGCGGGGCCCCGGCGCAGCCTGTGGATGGGCGCCAGCGCTCGGGGTCACCTTTGTAGTGTTGTGTTAGTGAAGGGTCCCTGTGTCTGTTATCTTGGAGAAACGGGATTTTAGCCGAGGGGCGCTGACCACCCCGTCTGGGCCCGTCTTGAGGGGTGTGACACGGCTGCCCCTTGCTCTGCAGAACCTCGGCTAACAATGATCCTGACTGTTGTGATTATGGAATAAAGTGTGTTGGTCTGCTCCCCACAGCTCTGGCTCCTTTTGTGCTGCCTCAGTCCTCCCAGGGGAATTTGGGATTCCAAGGGCTATGTGAGATCCCCAGGGAGATACGGGATTCCCAATGGCCAGGATCCAGCTCCCAGGCATATCAGTTCCCACCTTGAGCCCCGGTTCCTATGGGCTCTCCCGCAGCGGGGAGGTTCACCCTCATCAGTGAGTGTGGGCTGGGCGTCCCTGGGAGCAGTGTGAGCATGTGCACGGATGTGCTGTGCATATGCAGCCCCTCGCCCCACCCGTGTGTGTGTGTGTGTGTGGGCAATCCCGGCACCGCCCCCGACTCCGTTCAGCAAGGGGGAGGTGACCGAAGTAATCGGGGGGTGGAACCAGAGAGGGAGGGAACCGGGGGTGCTAATCCAGACCCACAGGAGGGCCCGGGGGGGGCAACGAGGTCACGCGCCACTTGATCACACCCAGACCCCTGCCCCCAGTCTCGCCGCAGCTGTTGCCACGGCAACAAGAGGAGCCCAGAGCATCCCCGGGTACTGCCAGCCCCTCCTGCAGCCCCGGCGCTGCTGGGGACCGGGCTGTCTCCGAGGGAGGGAGAAGTGCAGGGGTTGCCCGTGCTACTGTGACCCCCCGAGTCTGCAGGCTGCACCCACGGGAGAGCCCCCAGCACCGCCCGGGGCCTGGGCGGTACCACAGGGGCAGCAGTGTTCCAGGGAGCCGTCACTGCAGCCCCCGGCAATGGGATTGGTCTCAGCACAGGGGCACGGCTGGGAGCAGGGGGGATCATGGCGCAGCCACAGTCAGAGCTCTCTGGCCATCACCACTGCCACCACTGGCCACACAGGGCTCTTGTTCAGTGTCCAATGTGGCCCACACAGGCACATGCACACATTGCCACTGGCCTGGTTCTGAATCACACGTGGCAGTGGCCTCTTGGCTACCCCAAAGGTGCCACATACCTCCCACCACCACTCCTTCCCCTCGGCTGCCCAAAGGGTGTCCCTCCCAAAGGGCTCCAAGCACTATTGAGAAAATGTCTCCTGGAGAAGCCACAGACAATTAAAAATAGCCAACACGGCTGCCAGCTTTGAGCCATCCAGCCAAACCCACTTCCAGCTTGGCAAAGGTGGCTGCATCACCCCAGCTCAGCGGAGCATGTCCTGGGAATTGGGCATCCTGCCCAGGATCTCCTCCTGCAGTCAGGCACCCAGCCTGGGGTACAGGGCAGGCTGGGAGGTCAGGCTATTTCCAGCCCCACGCTGCTGATGGGGGGGACATCCCGGAGAGCCAGCAGCACACACAAGGCCTGGCACTGGCCCAGAGGGAGGCAGATGGATGGAGAACAGTGACCAGGGCATGCATGCACTCCTTGGCTCTGCTCCTGCTCCTCTTCCCATGGGGCTGCTTGGTGTGTGACCACACTGAGCTGGCCTGGCCAGCGCAGGGAAGGTGCCAGTTTTGGGCCTCCGGGTGCCACAAAAGCAGATCTGACAGCCCCAGCCCAGGGAGGGCAGGAAGTGTGTTTAGGAACTGTTTATTTTACAGTTTTAGGGTTTGTAGAAATCTGCATTTACAGGGGATGTGTAAGTCTTTGTACAGAGTAACTGAAGCACCCGCAGCCATGGTTTTTCCTTCTCTCCCTTTTCTCCCTCCAGGGACAATGCAAGAACTAAAGTGCATCATGGCCAGGGAATGGAGGGGCTGCAGTGGCTCCTCCTGCGGGGCTCCAGCCATCTCCTCCTTCAGGGTAGTGTTCAGAATGGCCCTGGGTCCTCCAACAGCATTCCCAGGTCACCACACTCTCCTGCACCAATGGCTTCTAAAGTGCTAAGTGACCCAGCCCCCAGTCCTGCTCTGCTGCTCTGGGGGTGCCAAGGGGCCAGGAATGGGCTCTGCCTTCAACAGGGAGAAGCCCCCCTGAACAGCCCCAGGTCTCTCCAAGGGCACTGGCACCATTGAGGAGAGGAAGGAACAGGTCTTGCTGCCTGCCTGGACAACGGCATTTTAACACACTCCACATTTCACCTGCAGAGGCAAAGGGAACTCCTGCTCAGAGCTTCATGGGAACACAAGCCACGAATGACAACTGCCCACATGCCCTCTGGCCAGAAAGGCACAGCCCCTCCATGAGCAAAGGCCCATGGGGCAAACCTGAACATAGCCAGGGCGGTTATGCACCAAGAGGGGTGGGAGTGGGGGGTGCTAAGCTTTGCAGGGCATGAGTTTTCTTCTCTATCCCAAAATCCCTTCAACCTCCTTTTCAGGTATGCAGACCCTGGGCATGGCACAGATGGCTTTGGGCACAACAGAGCAATGATGGGGGTGCGGGAGGGAGCCGTGAGGGTCAGGTAAGGGCACTTGAGGGAGATTTAGCAGCTTGGGGGAGAGGTAGAGGCATAGAGTGTCTATTGGCTTTGTCTCAGTGAGACACTGAGCTGTCTAGAAGGATTTGCTGCTTAGTTTGGGGGGCAGGGAGCGCTGGGACTGCTGACAGGACTGGTGGGGAGACGAGAGCTATGCAGAGGTCAGGGAAGCCTTTCTGGGAAACCCCTCATGTTATTTCCAGAGGCAATGCTGGAGCCTGATCAGCTCGTGGGTGTGTTTTTTGACACATTTTCTAGTGCAACAACTTCTATCCTGTGCAAAGTGTTTCACAAGGTGGAAAAAGCCTTTCTCCACATGGGTATGGTAAGTGTCCACTTCCAGAGCTATTAAAGAAGTCTGCAATGGGTGTTTACAGTGCCACTAAGCCTTGTGGTAGCATAACCTGGCATATGACAGTACACACCTTTGGCAGGGTGACTGCACTCGTGTCTCACTTCACTGACCCCAGATACAGTCACAGCATTGCCAGCGCAGCAGTGGCAGTGCCTGAAGAGCTGAGGGGAGCTAAGGTCTGCTCCTGGCCCCTGCAAGCAGATCAGGCAGCAAAGATGTGGAAGCAAAAAGAGCCAGGGAGTGTTACACACTGAAGAGAAGCTCACAGCATTGTGCTGGCTGGGGTGTGGGAAAGGTTTGGCTCTGCTCAGGGGGTACCCACAGGACAGGGAAGAGCTGGAGCACCGGCAAAGCTGAAGGCAGGTCGTGGGTCACACTGTAGCAATGAAGAGCCAAAGGGCTGCCCTGTTCCTCAGGAGTGCAACAGCCCTTCACCCTCACACACGCAAGAACAAACCCTGTTGGACACTCTCCTCCAGGCAAGGATCTGCTCTCACTCCCACTAGTTTTCTTCAATGGAGAACGCAGGATCATTTGGGCAAAGCCCACACACAGTTCTCTCTTTGTATAGTCACCTGAGCACAGCCTGAACAGCCAAATTTGTCCATACCTCTGGTTCCTCAGGGGAGAGTGGGAGCGCCTGTCTGCTCACCCTTGCACAGGGAGAGGGGACCAAGGTGAGCATGGTGTGGGGAACCATCCTGCTGGGCTGGCTCCCTCAGTCTCTGTCACAAAGGCCAAAAGCGTTACTGGACGCAGTAAGAATAAAAAATAACCTTCATACAGGTCGTTTCTGGACACGTCCCTCATCAAACATCAGCCCTTCCTGCTGGGGACAGGTGCAGTGATAGTGAAGGCCCTTCCTCCAGCTTCAGGGGAAAATCTGCAGTTCAAACTTGGGTGCCCACTCCAATGCGCTCTTCACCACAGCCAGGGCAGCCGCTCCCAGTGCCACCGTCAGCCCCATCACTGCCAGCTTAACAAAGCGGTTGGTCCGGGGCTTTGTCAAGGTGGATTTTGTCCGCTCCTCCCCTCGGAGCCGCTCCTCCCCTCGGAGCCGCTCTCTGAAGCGTTGCCTCAACACAGTGTCTGGTCTCTGCTGCACTGATGCCAACTCAAAGTCCTTAAAAGTGGAAGCTGCAGTTCTGCAAGAGAAGGAACGGGTCAAGGAGCGTCCCCTGCTCACCTCCGGGACCAGCCTCCAGTTAGGACGATCTCCAAAGGGAGGCAAGACCTGGCAAGGGGATGTAGGGAAAACATGGGCTGCCCAGCACTCACCGTTCCGCCTGAGCTGCCTGAGCTGCCTCCTTGGCGAGTTCAGAAGGTGGGAACTGGACAAAAAGGTCCCCGGCTTTGCTGACCAGAGACTCATAAGGAAGGTCCTGTGGGATCTGGGACAGGAGGTGGTGGACAGAGGCCATGTCACACTCGCAGTCCAGAACTTCCTGCTCCCGGTGCAGCACAATCTGCAGAGGAGTGAGAGGAGGACGGACAAAGAAGTGGGGACAGCTCTTTGGCACATGCTGGCACTTGTTTCAGAGCCAGAAGAAAAAAACACTTTACTTCCAGCTGAAAGACCTTCTTCAAGAGGACACACTGCAGTGAAGCATTCACTGGGAAGAGAAATGCCAAACCCCTTCTGAGACTCTGAGGCCATGGAAAGCCTCTTTCAGGGTACTGAGGTCTGTCTGCTGATCAGAGCCTGCTACTGGCAGGCCAGAGATGTGAGCAGAACCTCAGCAGGGTTTGACTTCATGCCTTGCCCTCTGCCATAGGAGGACAGGCAGGTGGATGCACAGTGCAGAGCTGTCCCCAGCCAGTCAAGCATCCCAGTATGTGACCAGAAGCAGGACCAGCACACGAAAATAAATAAAAACACTGTGCCATGCTGCCTCCACAGCACTGAACATTTGCTGCATATTTGGACACCCTCAGGCCGCCCTGAGTTCCCCTGGATCCCACCTGCCCTTTACCATCACCAAAGACATCACTGACTGCATCTGCAGAGCAGGGTACAACTGGGGACAGCACCAGCACCGGGTTTGCCAGCCTCCTTCTGCAGCCCCAAACTCCCACAGCCTCAGAACTCAAACACCTCAGAACAGCACAGCTAATCCCTGACCATTCCATCAGTACATACCACAGCTGCAAAATAAATGGGCATCAGTGGGTGGCAAGCCAGGAAGAAGTCATATAATCGCACCACGTGCCGGAAGTCGGACAAAACGTGGCCAAACCAGGTGATCAGCCAGCTGAGAGCAAAGATGGTTCCCACCTCCGCACTACAGAGAGAAAAAGCCATTAGGTCAGCTTGGAAACAGGGATGAAATGCTCCCAGGCCACTCCTGTGCTGCACAGCTGTGCCTGGGGAAATAGAGCTTGACTGACAGTGGAGCACTTGAACCCCCACACAGAGAGAGTAGGAACTGCACCTCTGACACAAAAAAGTGTTTATCTCCTGTGCCACCCCCTGTGGCAAAGTGCTGCCACTATTTGTGTCACATCCAGTGGGAGCCACAGCAGAGGCCAAACGCTGCTTCCAGGGGATCCTGAATGCGTGACGTATCATGGCACTTGGTCTGGCTTGCTGGCTTGAGGGCAACTGATGTCCTGCAGCACAAACAGATGTTTGGGTTTCTTCCTACCCTGAGGGCTTACTAATTCTGGGAGTTTGCAAACAGGGTTGGTACCCAAAGACATTCTGGCTGTGAGAAAAAAGATACATCTGCCCCAAAAAGGGCTCTGAACTGACTCTTCCCATTCACCTTCCCGCTTCTGATTTGATCTGCCCAGGCACACCTCTGTCCCTCTAAAGCAAAACCTGGGAATTATCCCCAGAACTAACAACAAACTACAGCAAGGTCCCACCAGCCACACAAGTGGTCACGTGAAGCAGTTGTAGTATTTATACAATGCTGTCCCCAAATGCCCAGCCCTCCCAATGCAGACTGCAGACAAATGGGCTGAAGATGTCACCGTGTAAAACTCCTCCAGACAGGCAGCTCAGGTTTGAACCTGCTCAGAAATGAGTGCTACATGGCTTTGGGGTGTCACCATCAGCTGTGGGACAGCTGGTGACTTCCTGAGGAAGCCACTGTAGTGCTGGGGATGTGCTGGTGAAAACGGCTCTGTGAACAGTAACCCGAGATGGGCAGGGGAAAGCCAGGAGGCTCTAAGGGAACATTTGCATACCTCTGCATGAAGTCGTGCACCTCAGGGTTCACCTGGTCTATGATGGGCATCAGGTAATTTAAAATGTGCTTGGTATTATCCATCGTTGGGTCCATAAAATCCCTGAGGAATTATTTAAAAGAAGCTTTGTCAAGCAACAACATCAGCAAGCTCTCCCTCTAGCGAGGCAGCAGAAGGTGAAGTACATGCAATAAATAGCCTTGCTGGCAGGGTGGCCCTCAGCCCCAAGGAATTGTGTCTCTTTGGAGCAGCCTCCTTCCAGCTTGTCTGGGACACCCAGGACTGACCTGCACATAGAACCCACACCCAGACCATCATGCTGCTGTCAGCTGACACTTCTTATTTTGCTGCAGTGCACATAAGAACTGTAAAGCTTTTCCAGCACCCAAAATCTGACTCCTGCCTGGGAGAGGAGAGATAATCCCTCCAAACCACACTCTCCAGCTGGAAGCTTTCTCTTATTTCAGTGCACAAACAGGAAAGACTCTTCATGTGGGGTACAGGACACTGGTAATACAGACCACACTGCCCAGGGATATGCAAGGACAAGTGGGAGGCAGGTGCTGAGCCAGCCCACAGGACCTGGAGAGGCCCTGACAGCCACACAAGCATGGATAATGCATGTGCATTCGCTTTTCCAGCTCCAAGAGATGCTACAAATTAACTGACAGCCTTCAATTATCCTTTCCCCAGGGCACAGCTCCCTGCAAAGCCACATGCTGTTGTGTGGTCAGGCTGCTCTCAATGACTCCTCTGGATACAGGCATGACAGGCAGTTGCTTTAACCCAAGGCTCTGCCTTCCCAGCTCCCCTTCCAGGCCAGCTCCACCTGCACAGGTGTCCCCACAGCCTGAGGACATGCAGTTGGCTCCTCTCCTCCCACTGAGTACCTGAGATGATGCGTTGAGAGCTTCTCCACCAGTGCCGTGGCCAGCCTGTCCCCCACCACCAGGAGGAAGGTGACCACGATGTCATGGTATCCCTGGTAGTAGTGCAGCTGGGGGTTACGCTTGAGGACGTGGAGGATGATATCGATGAGCTCCTCCTGCAATCCTTCCCTCTGGTCATCTGGCATCCCTGAGGGAACAGCAGAGGTGGCACAGCTGTGTCACCTACCAGTGCCTGCTGTAGGAGCGAGGGTGACTATGGTGTGCAAGGAGAGCACCTGTGCATTTACTACCTGCCCGATCCCAAGGGATGTGGTACACAGGGGAGGGTGAAACTGGCAGAAAAAATCATCCAAAGCTCTAATGCTGTCTCCCAAAACTCTGCAGGACCAGGGAAATCTGGCCAGTTGCTGAGAGGTTTAATCTGTAGATCTGCAGAACCCTTATCTGCAAGGAAGCCACTGTGGAGGATGGGTGCAGGGTTTACAGATGTTTGCACAGTGCTGCTGTGAAGAGAGAATTGTTCTGCACATCCAGCACCAATGAGGATGTTTTAGTAATTTTTAATTTCCCAGGAGTTCTAGAAAAAATTCAACAGGACCCATTTTCACAGAAACTGTATGCCAACTGTACCAGACTGTGAGGCCTCCACTGGCACAACTTTCTATCAGTCCCCTACTAACAACATGTGTTTAGGGACAGGATGTCACAGGGAAAACATTGTTCCTGCCCTGCACAGCTGCAGTCAGTTTCTGGCAGTTCTTGTCAACAGACAAAACGACCAAAGGCCAAGCAGAGAGTCCCAGCAGAGATCCTGCAATGACAAAGTTCTCCTTTTCCTCTGCTTCACTAATGCAGCTAAAAATAGGCAGGAGGCTGCCATTCAAGGGCAAAAAAATCCGTAGGAGCAGAGCCTCCGAGAATCAGGCCTGCACACAGCATCCACGCCTGCAAGAATCAGAGTGAATCAAGTGTTTATACAAAATAAAAGTGGCAGAAGGGGGAAGCAGATTCTGGCCAGAAATAATGACTGCTTTGCACAGAGAGCTGCTGGATTTAGCGTTTTATAAATAACACAAGGCACCCATCAGAACTAAACAACTGCAAAACCATTTTGCTTCTAAATGCTTTAAGTTCTAATGTTTAAATTTGGTGCAAGAACCTGATTTTGAGACTGTTTTATACCAGGGGCTGTTCTGGGCACAGACAAACCTGCCTTCCCTGACCCTGAGCTAGACCATGAACTAAAATAAACTGAAGCAAATGGCATGTTTATCAAGCTTTCCATCTGTCCTAATCTCAACAGGTCATGGTGCACAAGATCTGTACAGGATCCATCCTCTCTATGCTGCAAATGTCTGCCAGTAGCAGCCTTCTGGCAGAGGGGCTCAGTGGGGCAGGGGAAGTGGGATGTTGGAAGAGCCACATCAAAAACCATCTGTGCAGAGACAGCTGAAGGAAACTGATGGCTGCAGAAGGGCTTCACTGTAAGAAGAAGCTGCTGTGAGATCACAAGGAAAAAGTTTTCTAGAAGTCAGGCCCTGGGAGTAATAAGAGTGTCACCTTCTGTAGCCTCCCAGGGAGGTCTGAGCCAGGAGGAGCCCCATGGCATTGCTCTTGCCCCCGCAGAGTGGGAAGAGCAGAATCCCCTCTCACCTGGTGGGAAGCGGCGCAGGGATCGCCGCACATCCAGTAACACTTGCTGGTAATCCTTATTGTCCTCTCGCAGCTCCTTCCTTGCTGAGAAAAAGAGGAACAGGATTAACATGAAGCAGTGCAATGGCACTGGGGCAAGAGTGAGGTTAGGGAGCCGGGAATATCCCTACTGAATGTGGACATGAAGCTGCACAAACCCCCTATTCCACTGTAAATCCCCTTTTTCTGTCACACCTCAGCCCTGTCCCTGCACTTTCACTGCCACACACTCTGACACTAACAGCAAATGAGAAAATTATTTCTTTAGACAACACATGTTAAAATGCTGAAACTGAATTCAAAGTGTACTCTCAGCAGCAGCACTAGAGGAGTGCTGTGGAATCCACAAAGAATCATTCATAAAACAAAAACAATTCAGAGGAAACTCTCACCCAGGGTTAGCTAAGACAGTTGAAACAGAAAAGTTCAGCAAGCTAGCAAATTCCTTCTATGCGACCATGTAAAGTTAAATGTTGTTTTCCAGCAGCTCTGGTCACCTCACATCACCCTAATGCCACCTGGCTCTTGAATGAGGTGGGGGGATGCACGTTTCCAAATGACCACAGAATCAGGATAACACTAAGATCTGTGCTGGATGACTATAAAAGCTACAGGACCTAGAGCTCCTGCACTGCTAAGGTTTAAAAACAATGTGGGTACTTCACCAGGAAGGTTGTTGTCCCTGTGTCTATTCTGACTGAGACCCACATGTGCTTCACACAACAAACTGCTTCCTGGGAGAGACACATTGGGAGAATTTTTGCCACACCAGGGCTCAGCACAGACACCTCTTCATCGGAGCAAAACAAATCAAGTCTAATTCTTTCTGCTGCAGGTGAACTTACATACGTCAGCTAATGCTCAGGGCCATGCTAACTGCATCCACAATGAACTGATTCCATTACTATCACTAAAGAAAACAACAAATGTTGTTTTTAGAAGTCATGTATTGTTTACATACAACACAGTATTGGTGCTGCAGTGAGTCCCCTTTGTACAAGAGCTTAGTGGCAAATGCAACACACACAGGGAAAAGGCAGGTCAGAAAGCACGTCCCTCCTCTAGCGACAAAGGTCACTGAACTGTTCCTCCCAAGCAGCTGAAACCAGGCTGCTCCATACCTGGAGGAGGGGGCAGGTCATCTGTATTAACACTGAGCAGCTTTGGCCACACTTTGCACCGGATCTCATCCGTGAGCAACCCGCCCTCGCTGATCGCCATCCGCCTCAGCTTTGCCACGTCAGTGGGGTCACTGTTCAGAGCCTGGTAAATCTCTGCCATTTTTCTTTTCTTCTTAGCATCAAAGTCTGCAAAAGGCCACAGAGACGTGAGCTGACAGGCAGTGCCAGCACACAGAGGGAGCTAGCAACAGCCACTCACAGCAATGTCACACACACACAAGGGAGATAACACAGGACAGTCGTCACACTGTCATGACAGGGATGACTCTGGTGGTGACCCCTCCAGCTGAGTGTCCCCACTTCTGCAGACTCAGCACTAGGAGCACCTCAAAGGGTACTCTCACTACTTCCCTACCAACCCTGGGGGTCCCAGTGTGGGAGGCAAACACTGCTCCTCCTGACAGTGGAGCCACCAGCAGTACCCAGACAGAGCCCTTGGCTCCTGTCCTTCCCAGTGGTTCATGGCTCCATACAGGATCAAGACAGCCCTGCAAAGCCATCCTGAAACTCTTTGCCCTCTGATGCAGCTGCCAGCTCAGATGTCATGTGTTTCCTAAGATTCGGACTTAGGGAAGTGTTCTATAAAGGTTAGGAAAGTGTTCCCAAAACTGTGTTCCTACCGACTCCCAGGTGTAGCCGTCCTAGGAAGAAGCCTGAGTATTTCCACTGACAGCAGCAGACACAAGAAAGGACATAATTATACCAGAGTTAAAGAGTCATAAGCACATTGACTTGTCCTACAACAAACACAAACCTGCCAGCCACCAGTACACACACAGAGACAATTCCCACTCTTTAGAGGAGCACAGGAATGTGGGGCAGGGAGGGAAGGAGGTAACACACAAAGCACACAGTGCTCGGGTTAGACACACTTACAGGACACCAAAGCGCTTCCCAGTGAGCGGAGAAATGACACTACTTCACACCACATGGTGGAATTTGTCACCACTGCCTCATGTGAGGAAAGAAAGAAGCAGCCGAGAGCCACTTGATATCTCACACTGGAGGAGTTCCCAGTAAGGAGGCTTTGCTGAGCAGCTGCAGGACTGGACTGCAGGATGAGACCACAAACACTGCCTTTCCCTAAAGGCTATTCCCATAGATGCAACAACTCTTGGGATCCAAACAGGATTCGTTCTATAAGCGACGTGTCCAAATAGGATTTGGGGTGGGAGGAATTAAAAGGATTTTGATGGAGAAATAACTGCTCCCAAGGCCACACCTTCTCAGCAGCGATAGGGGAGCTCGTTACTCTGCCCACGTGGCACCTCAGCCACTGCCCCGGCCCTGTTTCTGCGAACTCCTGGCTGGAAGTGCAGTTCTCAGCGAGGTCTGAAGGGAGCCGGCAGGTCAGCAGGCTGTTCACACACACGGAAGCTAAGTAGGTCGAGCACTGGATGCTGTTCCTTCTCAAAGAGCCTTTTAAAACACTTCTTGGATCAAAACAAGCTGTAACAGCCTACGACAGAGCTCCACCTCCCTCCGAATTCCACGTTCCTGATAACATTAAATCTCCTGTCGCTCACACAGTGACTACAGTTTCTTTTATTTCCTTTCCCGCCCCTTGTGCAAGCAGTTATTTTATTTGCACAACAGAAGCCAGCTCTGCTCGCCCGGTTCCCTATTCCCAGCCAGTTCCCTACCCCCATGAGAGGAATGATGGGTTTGTCTTTACAAACAAGCTGTGGGTCTGCTGATAAAATGAAACTATTAATGAGAGGTAACAGAAACAATGGGATGGATTCCACTGAAAGATGAAAGGGACACTGAGGAAACACCATAAAATTCCACAAGGGTTAAGAATTAAGAGGGGGGTTATACATTAGGGGGAAAATTTTAGGTATTAGGCATTCCAGGAAGTCTGTACCTCTCAAGTTCCTCAACCAATGGGGAAAGAAGTGACATGCGGCCGGGAAATTAGGATAAAAGGGAGGCTGCGACCTTCAAAAATTTGAGAGACCCCAGGGGAATGCCCCATGGCTTCTCCCTTTATTTGAATAAAGTAAAAGGATTCCTCTGTCTCCTTTTTGGACATAAACTTCTGGTGTTTATGGATTAATTTTCCTGACACTCAGCTGTTCCTGATCCCCTGCCACACGCACACACTGGGCTGTCACATACCGATGCCTCGGGAAGGAGGAGACAAAGCCTATGGGAGGAAGAACTGCTCACACACAAAGAAGTTAGGAAGTTGTGGGAAGGAAGGAGCACATCTTGCGGGCTCCTCCTCTCAAACTTACTAATAAAGACACCAATATTTACACTTTTCAAACATACAGGAGTCAACAGCTGCGAGTCTTACACAAAATCGGTGCATTTCAATACATGTTTCATGAAAACACAAGAACTTAACTCGCAGGTTCACCCTTGGAAGAAAGATACAAACCCAAAGTGAGGGCGGTCTAAAGCCCAGATGGCTCCGTCGGTGCTTCTGCACCGCGGCAAGCACCGGGCACCGACACGCGGCCTCGCCAGGTCTGGCCAGCCCGGCGCTGCCGCAGAGCCCTGGGTCACTGCCGGGGTCCGCCCTCGGGCCCGGCGGCTTCCTGTCCGCTCGACCCCGCCGCGGCCACACAGCCGCGGGGTGAGCCGGACCCTTCGCTCGGTCCCGGGACCCCCGGGACCCCCGCCCGCTCCCACCAGAGCGGCTGCGAGTACAGCGCCGGCCCCGCCCCGCCGCCAGGGGGCGCCGCCGCGCCCGCAGGGGGCGCTCCAGCCCCCGCCCCCTCAGCGGAACCACCGCCCCCCGCCCGCCGGGCCCGGCCCAGCCCGTACCGTGGCCGCCGACGCCGTTGCGCGGCGGGCTCTGCCGGGCCATGTTCCCGGGCGACGCGGCGCATTCCGGCCCGGACACCGGACCGGACCGGGCCGGGGCTGCGCGCTCCCCGCGCCGTCCGGTCCCGTCCCGCCCCCGCCCGCTCCCCCCGCCCCCCGCCCGCCGGCGCACGGGCGGGACGTCACGGCGCCGCAGTGCGCAGGCGCGGCGCCGCCAGGCGGGTCACGCGGGCGGGGGCAGCTGCGCATGCGCAAACGGGAGCGTGTGGCCCGGACGTGCCCGACCCGAGCGCGCGTCAGGGCTGTTTAAAACCAACAAAAAACCAAACCCCCAGCCCTCCCCGACGTCCGCGGTACAGGTTATTCCCAGCGCTGTCGGGGCGGGTAACGCACGCTCAATGGTGCTGCAGACACTGGCTTGTGCCACCACGCAAAAAACCCCCGCAAACCCTTCAAACTCCCCTGTCAATGCTTTGAGGCACCACAGTGGGAGAACAAACGCCCGGCCCTTCTGTAAGGGCTTGTCAAGTCCACAAAGCTCCTTCCATGCACAGGGTTCCGTGCTTCTTTGTGCAAGGGCTGACAGGCACTGGGGCCATTCACCACTCCCAGTTTGCTCTTCCACACATCTTACCCTTACTCGCTTGGAATAACGAAAGAACTGGGTAAAATGTCCTGCATAGCTCAGAACCAGTGCAAACAAGCTGTATTTTGTCATACTGGGTGCTTTTACGTTACAGCACATTGAGGTAACAGTCAACACAGTCCAACTTTCACATCACTTTAGGATATAAAAGATTAAGTACAATGGATTTCCACTGGATGAAGGCATGGAGGAGAAAGTTATCCTGGTGTATGTGAAAAACCTCATCTCCCTGCCAGCAATCCTCACAGAAAGGGGCAGTGTTCCATGTCCCACATATTAGCCCACATGTTTAATCCAGCCCACATGCTCCATCTTATAATAAACTGAGCAAGGTGGAAGCACATGTCCATCCTCTCCAGAGGAGGGATGGGTGCCTGTGACAAGCAGGAGCTGCAGGCCAAGGCATCAGCACCCACTGAGGAACGTGAAGATCACACTCAATGTCCAGGGGAACAACTGCTGCAACGGCTTTGGGATGAGAGGTCACTGAGAGGGACAAGCGCCGTTGTGCCTGCAGCACACCAGCTGAGCCACCCTAGCACTAGGTGATTGAAAACAAGTCACAGAAATCCAGTGAGTGGCACAACAAGCATAAACACCTAGGGAGTGGTTCATCATCTCAATTCCCCACCATCATGGCTGAGACAGAAGAGGAGGGTTTTTTGTTATGGCAAAAGGTCCTTCTCCCAGGAGATACTTTGGCTTGTGACATCTGTGTAAGGCTTCTCTGCACTGCTCCCCATGGGTGTGACAGGGACATGGCCCACCCAGGGCACATATGGCTGTCACCACTCCTGTGTCAGTGTATGACCACCCCAGGGAGGCCTCTACACAGGGAACTTAAATCTAACCTCGATAAATAAAACCAAATGTTTATTTACACCAAAGAATTCCAACACTGGATCTTTCACATATGAAGGACAAAGTATATATACACAGCAAGGGGTAGCAGGGCTGTAACAAGGGTGCTTTTCCGTTGTCAATGATAATATTTGTCCACAATTACTGATCTACCATTTCAGTTTAACGTCTCCTCGCTCCTTCCTCTCAGTGCATATTTACAAGACTGTGAGGTAACTGGTATTCTCACCACATGGCACGTGAGGGAGGGGATGGTGGGTGAAGATGTGGGATCGGACTTGGCGCAGTCTGATTTTTCCAGCTTTAAGTAGCCACCAGCTCGAAACCTATAGAAACAATTTAAAAACAATATACCCAATAACAAACTAATTCCAGAGATCCAAGCCAAGCAACGGCTGGAAGAACCCTCCACAAGAAAGGGGCTGATCAGAGCAGGGCTTACTCTACAGGAGCACCTGTCTCAGGAGGTGTTAAGGACTCCAACTGGATCAGTAACTTCATTTTAAAGACTAAAATTACATGCAAGGGGTGAGTTAGCATTCTGGTTGACTCCTAAGGAGACATCCAATCCAATCAGGGTTTTGGGCACTATCTGCACTTACTCCTTTTAAGCTTATCCCACCTCTCCCTACTGGAATTGTCTCCTCAGTGTACCCTGGCTGGGACATATGCAGGACATGGGGTTCAAGTGAGTGGTACTTTAAGAATCCCCTCCCCTGCCTCATGAAGACTTGGTTTGGTAGTCTCTGGAGAACAGCACAATCCTCCAAGGTGTAGGCTTGTGGAGGAATAATGGTGGGAACATGAAGAGAAGAGATTTCCAGCAGGATGCAAGAGCTTGGAAATGCTGTTGATTCATCTTTGTTATTACATGAAGAGTTGTTTTGTTGGTTTGTTTTTTTTTGTTTTTTTTTTGGGGGGGGGGGGAAAGAAAAACTGTCCAAGAAGTATTCCATCTGTAGGTATTTTCAGGGAATCCCCTGAGTTACGAAAAGTTCAAGTAAAAAAAGAAAAATCAGCCTATAATAATTTTGTATATAATGACTGAACTACTATAAATCCACAAGCAACAGTTCAGACACGGTGTCTCCAAAGCGTTCATCCCCTCCCTTCCCCTGCCAGGCACGAGCTGCGTCCTGAGGAGAGGTGGAGGGGGAAACCTCTTCCCCACCTGACTCAGCTCAGGCAGCAGGAGACAGAGCCCATCACTACTGCTGGGCGCCCGCAGCAGCTGGAACCGGCATCCCCAGGGTGGTGGTGGCAGAGATGACGGGTGAACCTGCTAGAGGTCCAAGGGGCGAAGGTGTTGGCACTGAAGAAATCCCTGGAAGAGAGACAGGTAAGCAGGAATTAGAGTAAAACCAGCACACTGCTATTCAGGACAGCTTCTGAAGTCAAGTAGGAGCTTTGCAGGTCAGTTATGTTTTCAGAGTTGCCAAAATAATCTGAGGTTAAAGATCTGTCACTATTCTCTGCAGCTCTGCCCTTGCACAGATTTGCACACCCCTGAGTGTTACTGATGGACAGGTATGTGTCAGGATCACAGAATGGTTTGAGTTGAAAAGGTAACCTTAAAGCTCCTCGTAATACAACCCCCCTGCCATGGGCAGGGACACCTTCCACTAGACCAGGTTGCCCCAAGCCCTGTTCAGCCTGGCCCTTAAATAATTCCAAAGATCTGACAGCCACAACTTCTCTGGGCAGCCTGTGCCAGTGGACTGTCCTTCAAGCTGCTGCCCGAAAATCAACTGCAAAGAACTTCTTAAAATTAGACCGGAAAAACAGGTCAGACTGCCCAAGGCCTTACTTATCAGACTCTCCCACCCACTTTGCAGCTCTCCTTGCCTTTGTCCCCAGTCCTGGGAGATGATCCAACACCGCCCTGCCTGCTGAACTCTCCCTCTCTCCCTCCCTCCCTCCCAGCCACCCCACATGTACAACTGCTTTAGCACACCAAGCACCAAGAAGAGTTGACAGAACTGACCTGACATCATGCTCGCACTGCTGACAGGAGTGCTGCCACCCGGCATGTTGGACGAGCCCATCCGAGCCTGGTCTTTCACAATGGGATCTAGGAAGAGCACACTACCAGTAAGTGCTGTGTTGCCAAGAGCTGCTGAGGCATACAGACTGCCTGTGGTCTCTGTGCTCAGCCAGTCCTCTGCCTGTGTCAAATAAAATCAACCATCATCTATCGAAATACAGACATTTCCACCAACTCCAGTGGGAAGCACTCAAGAAGGTACCAAGGTCATGTGATATCAGGGAAAGTCAACTAAATTACCTGATTTGGGGTTCAGCAGGACTGTGACAGGAAAAGCTGATGGATATTATGGCAAAGTTGATCTTTCTGTGCTAAGCAACTGTGTAATTGCAGAAAACCAAACCCAGAATATGGGTGTAGCAAGCAGAAAGATTATCACTAATTACAGTCATGTGCCATGTCTCTATACACATCTCTGTGAGCTGTCAGGTGTGTCACTAGAACTTGTCTTCCATGAGATGATCACAACTGACTAACTCTGTATCTTCAGCTGCATGTAAGTAATGCTCTCACCTGAACTGGGACAACCCCTTCCTGCCTCCCAGGCCTTCTGTGTCAGACAAGGGAACTCCAAACTTTGCTGAGCTCAGCACTACATTTATCTTTCTGTGGGCACAAGTTAATCAAATGTTTGTCCAGCTCTCACATTCCAAGCTATTGGCTTCACTAATGCTCATAACTTGCAAAACATTTCCCTGGGATTTTTCCAACAGGTGTAACACAGATCAACAGTCTGTTAATTATGGGAGTCCCTTCAGCAGCAGCAAAAATACCCCCAAAACCAAACCACCTGAGCAAATATTGACATTATGCACTGTTGCAGCTGCTTCAAACCCCTAGATATTATTATCTGTGAAAAAAAGCAACCATTTAAAAGCATGTACTATTGAAAGTTACATTTTTGCTTGCAAAATCGAGACCTGAATAGAGCAGTAGCTAAGCAATTTAGCAACAGGAGTTAAAAATGCCTGTTTATCAAGAAACCAGAATTCTCTGGATTTATCCAAACACAGGAATCCATGCACACCTGCAGAAAGCAATGCCAAATCACATGATTTAGGTGACCTTCCTTGATAGTATTTGTTGATTCATGGGCCCAACACGGGCACCCAACACTGATTCCTTGGCTGGTAGAGGTAGCACACAGAGACCAGCAGCCTCAGCTCCAGCACAATCACTTGCAGAGACCAGGCCTATCACTGTTACGATTCTCAGTTCCCATGTGCACAAGCCATGGGAACAGAGGTTTCCCATGGCAGAACTCTCAGGACAGCAAATGATACTTACAGAAGTAGGGATGTTCCATGGCTTCTCTCGCTGTGAGTCGTGACTGGTGATCGTATCGCAGCAGCTTGTCTAAGAAATCCAGAGCTTCTGGGCTCACCAGATGTTGGTTCTCACTGTGGACAAAGCGCTCCCATCGTTTACGGGAGTGTCTGCAGGAAAACAGACCCAAATCAGGCCAGGCAGGGGACAGTGATGTCAAAACTCACTTTCTTAAGGAGCAAGAACTGTGACAGATGTCCAGCCCTTAGGGAGGCTGCTCCCTCAGCAGTCCCGTGCAGCAGCCGCGGGACTGAGACATTCCAGAACCTGAAGCAGTGTCACTGTGTCTCCACATGGTGGCACAGCAGTCACAGCCCCAGCACAGCCACCTCGGCCACCACAGCCCCTGCATGGCCCTGCCACAACCCCAGACAGCAGCAGGACTAATGTTCAGAATGGATTACAGGCAGGTTCTGCTGATCTCTTATGCACCCAACATGAGCTCCTTTAATTTTAATCTCACTATGAGGGGGAAAAAAAACCCATGTAAATTCCATCTTTAGCAGCACCTGACTTTCTGCACTCTAATGCTGAGAAACAGTTTTGTTTTTTTCCTCCAGACTGAAGAGAGCATTTGCCCTTCATGCTTTCTGCTCCAGTAGTTCCTTTATTGCCTGGATGACATTTAAAAATCTTTCCTCAGGTCCATTTTCATATAAAGGACTACAAGAAGCACTGGCAAAAGGGACTAAAGGCACAAAGTGTCAGTTCTTCAAAATTCTGGCTCTTATTTCTCCCACAATTTTTTGTTCATTTCAAGGTCTGCTGACAAAGCTGTAAATGTCTGGGTCTACCAAAGAGACCTTGGCTCACCTGCCCAAGATGTCATTGAAACGTGGATCCAGCTCAATGTTGTATTTGTCAATGTAGTCATACAGATCTTCTGTCCCCAGCACCTTGGCTATCCTCACCAGCTGGGAACAAAAACAAAAACAAGTCACTGCTGTGCAGGTGTGGTAATACCAGAGCCTGCATGAAGATATAGCAGCACATTCCCATGGGAGCTGGAACCTGGTCCCAGCAGTAGGAATCCGAAGCCACAGGGTCCGCCTGTGTCTCTGGCTTCCCCAGCCACACAGTCCCAGGCATCAGGAACATGTCTCGACTCACAGCTGGAGCTCAGTACCCCAAGGCAGCCAGGGGGGAGCCACAGACCCTAAAATCTCTAAAACCTGAGACTCTGCAACACTACCTCCCTTAGCAGCAAGAAAATATTCAAAACCAACAGAGGGGAAGGCAAGAAAAACTGGTCAAAAAAGCAGAAATTCTGGATCTTGCATGTGAAAGGTGAAGCATCACCCCAGAGAGGTCCAGAATAAAGATTTGAGAACAGAAGGTTCCCTGTTCCAGAATATTTGCATGGCAGTCACATGCTGAGCATGTGGTAAAGGTTTAAATATAAAAATTTTGGCCTAAAGGCAACACATCAAAGATTTCAGAATCTGTATAAACCTGTACCAAAATCACAGTTTCTATACAGAGTGCGGCAAGAGTGAGTAGTGGCAAGGGCTTTCCACATAAAATAACCTCAGGAATAGTCAAACTATGTACTAGAACACACCAGCCTTAATATAACTATTTCTATAGCTTTTCCCAGACACCTACTGAGGAGCTCTTAAGTACAAAGCTCTATAAATCCATTTCTATTTAATTGGTTACATAATCTTGCACACTTGAGAAAAGGAATGTGGCTTCAAACTGAGCAAAGAAGCCATTAGAGAAAGGCTTAAAAATTCTCTGGATAACTCCATAGAAGCCTAAGCAGGAAACCTTCATGGTGCTAAGAGAACAGACATTGTACATGACCAGCTCTCACCTGATCATAGTTGTCATGGCCATGGAAAAATGGCTCCTTTCGGAATATCATACTAGCCAACATGCAACCCAAGCTCCACATATCCAGACTGTAATCATACATCTGTACAAAACCAGAAGGACAATTCAATTTCTAATGAATTAAGAAGAACAGACCTCCAAAACTATCAGGGTTCCACCCCACCCCCCACCAAGGTGATATGAACACAGCCATGTCATGCTGGAAACAAACTGAACTATCTTCACATATCTTCATCCCTAAGCCACTGTTCAGCTCAGTGTTCCAGTTACTCAAACTGGGATACAGCAATTAGCAGGACAGCAGGTATCCTAATTCCATCCCTGTTTGCCAGCATATTAAATAAAGATCAGAGCTTTCTTCTATTTTCACTGCAGTCTCCAATGTTACAAACGACTGAGAAATGTGTGTTGGGAAAGGAAGCACTGCAACAAGCAACAAAAGATGTGGACTCCCCAGGGTCCATTGGCAGGTGAGGATGTGCCTTTTTCCAGAACCAGCATGGTCTGAAAGTCACCAGGAACACTGTGATTTCCATAATGCAAACTGCCATCAGATAAGGGGATGCTTTTATAGCTTAATTTAGAAGTTCATGCAGTACTTGCTGTTCCCACAGGGGCTTTGTTTCATTCCTGTACCTTACTGCAAACACAGCCTTACTAAAAAAATATTCAACATTTGTATTCCAAGATCCATAACACTAGTTCTGCAGCTGTTCCTCAGGTCCTGAGACTACTCATTAGTTTCTTTCATTCAGTGGCTTTATGGCCACTGCTTTCTGCCAGACATTTTGGAACAGACTGTCTTTAGCTTCAACTCTCTAGACATCTGAATTTTGGATTTATTATCTTGAAATGGCACTGTGACTTTCCATAGAGAAGTCAGTAAGAAGTCCTGATATTTCTTACCTGATAATCTACAAGAAGTTCAGGTCCTTTGAAATATCTGGAAGCCACTCTGACATTGTACTCTTGGCCAGGGTGATAGAATTCAGCCAAACCCCAGTCTATTAGTCTAAGCTAAAAATGGTAGAAAACAAAGAAAAAAGGCTCAAGGGATGCTCCAGTTTTCCACTGTCTGAATGACACTGGTGCACTTAGTTTGAAGTTAATTTATAAGTCTTCCATTTTCAATTAATTTGATCAGAGTGTCTGGTTACATATTCTCCCCAAACTCATATCACCAAGCAGTCTAAATAAAATACCTCTCCTTACAACCCTGCCCATAGGTTACAGGTGACCAAGTAAAGCTTCAAAAAGCAGCACAAGATTCTCATTTTACATTTTTCCACACCATGAGAGGAGAGTCCCTCTCATAGAGTTCTGGCACTACACAGGAGTACCCAAAAGGGATCCCAGTTTGCCAAGAGAAAAGCAGGACCCCTCCCTGCCCCCCAGCCAACCCACACTACCTTTCTGTGCTCATGGTCAATCATGACATTGTGAGGTTTGACATCTCTGTGCATGATTCCCATGCTATGGCAGTAATCTAGAGCCTGCAGGTGAACGGAAACAGATGCTGGAGTCACAAGAATGTCTGAAGTTCAACCATACTCAAAAGTATTTCCACACATACCAAGTCTAACTAGATGAAAAGACTGTCCAGTGTTAGACCCTGGACTAGATTCACTGATCACAGAAAATGCTTCTAGAGCCCCCTCTCAAAGGAAGGTCTCAGCAACACAAGTGTCTGCACTTCACATGCTTCCTCATAAAAACTGTAATTTCAGAGTCTCTAAGAGCACAGTTACTAGGCACTAATGATCACACAAGCCTCCCTTATCCAGAGTCCTAAGGACAAATTACTTAGTTCAGAAGAATGGATGAAAACATTTGGCTCACATTATGCCAGAGCACAAACCCAGCCAGTAACAGCTCTCGGTTTTCTTTTTTCAGAGGCTACATGTACTCCTGATTTAGGATTTTAAGGTATCTCAGTGTACCAAAAGACTGAAAAATAGACACTGACTTAATATTTTCCTGTCCAATTCTTCCATAAGCTCTCTCTTTCCTTCCCTTAGTGATATGATGTCACTATCATCAGTGACATGAGAACCATCTCTACAGGATTAGCTGAGGGCAAATACTAGAAATAAACCAACAAAACAGCAAAATACCAACTTACCTTCAAAATCTCATACATGTAGAATCGAATATCATAATCTGTTAATGTCTGGTATAATTGCTGTGGGACACAAACACATCATGTCAGTGTTCAACATCCAAAAATCCCCTGTTCTGGTCTGCTGGCATTCTCCAAACCCATTTGAAGGTATAGCTCAAGTTTCCCAAGTTACTCTGATCAGGTCTGTTCCTCTTCCTTTGCAAATCCCATACATAGTTTACTTCCAGCTCTGCTCAGACAGCACATCCTAGCTCCTGTCACTATCTCCCTCTGGTTGTACCCAGCCAGCACAAGCATGATGGATGGCATTGCACAGCCATTCTTCTTCTGAGGCAGGCCAGCATGAAGGGACAAAGAAGCATTTAAATCCCCATTTCCAGGAGTATGGAAGGCCACAGAAAGAGCTGTCCACATTTAAAGTGGTTCCAATAAATAGCTGTACACATAAAAGCAAAATGGATCAAAAAGCCAGGGCCACAAGGTAACAGATTCATTTGCAACCAAGGTTAAATAACTCTTGGAATCTGCATTCTCATCTTGTAGCTTTTGTGGCAAAATGGTAATGACAGGCTAATTACAAACTTCTGTCTGCAACTGTAATCCAACTGCATTTACCTTTAAAAGCATTTCCTATGCTGGAAGGAAATGCCTGTACTATGTGCTTTTCCTTCCCCAGAAAGACAGTACAAGTGGTTTTCAAACAAAAAAAGAAAGAGAAGTCATATCCCACACTGTACCTTAAAGTCTGTGTTGTTTACATGTTCAAAAACCAGAGCAGGTGTTCGAGACTGAAACAGAAAAAAAAGCGTTCAGCCATGTTAAGTTATGTTTCCATTAAGGATAATGAATGAAATAATTTTCTACTAAAACTGCACAAAACCCCTCTGCCTTGGACATATTTATGATTCCCCTCAGACAGAGAGACAAGAGCCAAAGCCCACAGCCTCCAGCAGCACTGTTTGCAGAGCGAATTAACTTGTCTCAGCTCACTGGTATCTCTTCCTCACAGAGTGAGGGGCTGGAAGGACTTGTGGGGGAAGGGCCCTCTAAAATAAGTTTATCAGATTAAGAGCTGATCTGATCAGTCAATTCAAAAGCAGGATTTAAGAGCAGGGGAAAACAAAAAGCCAGGCCAGAGCTGAAATCAAACAGAGCAACTTCACCCATAACCCCAGTGTAACCCCCTTAAATTCCTCCCTTACTCACCACAGGATCTTTTACTATATCTGCAAGGGTGATTATATTGGGACCGCCTCGCAAGTTCTCTAAGATCTTGATTTCACGCTTGATTTTCTTCTTTTTAACAGGCTGAAGAATAAAAACCCAAAGTGTAAGATAAAGCCCTGCAGTAAAATGAGGCTAATAGCTCTACACCCAGATGACAACAGCTAGATGACTGCATATCAGCAAAATATACTGGAGCCTTTGCAATTTAACCTGAGTATGCATAACACCAGTAAGGGCTCAAATATCTGCTGTCTCCTTTCTAACCATACAACCTTGACAGTTACAGACAATAATTCCAAGTGAAGGAGAGGCCAGAAGATGGCATTAAAAAAAAACAAAAACAACTCTCTGAGCATGATCTGATAGGCCAAGAGGAAATGGCCTCTAGTCATGCCAGGGAGGTAAAGGCATCAGGAAAGAATTTCTTCACAGAAAGGGTTGTCAAGCCCTGGAACAGGCTGCTCTAGTGGTGAGGGCACCATCCTTGAATAGATTTGAAAGCTGTAGATGTGGCACCTGGGGACATGAATGCTGAGGTGTTGGCTAGACTTGATCTCTGAGAGCTTTTGCAACCCTAACAGTTCTGTGATATTCCAAGACTCCTTAACTGGCATATGGCAAATGTTTAACTATGAGAAATCCATGGGCTATTGGAGAGTCACTAAATGAAGGCCATGGCCATGACAGCCTGCCAGGACACCAGCACCCAGAGAAGCTGAGAATTTTGTAGTCAGCTGCTGAAATGTTGCTTAGCTCCAAGTAAAAAAGGTGGTGTACATCAGAGCTTCTTTAAGACAGAGCCTAATTCCTTACAGGCAGAGAACTGTCTTAATAACCAAGTGCAGGACTTATATCAGGAGGCTTAAAACAATGGCCTGTTTCACTGAGTGACACTCCAAAGCCAGGCTTTAAGGATTTCAGTTTTAGAACATCAAAAAGCCATTTCTGGCCTTCTGATCACCTGAAGACAGATTTTATCTTTTGTCCAATCCCCAGCTCACCTTGAGAATTTTAACAACTACTTTTTCGTTATTTGTGATGTTGATGGCTTCAAATACTTCACTGTATTTGCCTCGGCCTAATTTTCGAACTAGCTGGTAGTCATCTTGATTTCTGTGGAGAGAAAAGGTTAGAGTTCCAAAGGGCTCAGTCATTTCCATCACAATTTATAAACTGCTTCTTAACACTCAATCACTGCCTCACTTCCCAGACAAAGGGGATTAACTAGTGCCTTATCTCTCCTGAACTGGATGATTTAACAATTAGCAGAGAAACAGGGAGCTTCCATTTGCTGGAGACAGATTCAAGCCAAAACTATGAACTGAAAGCCCAACTATGCATTTCAGCATTAGCAAACTTGAACTGCCCCTTCTCTCTGTATCTGGAAGTTCTGTTTTTCTTTGTATAATGGTGGTAAAATTCAACAAAGCAAATAAGGGCAACAATCTAAGTACAAGGTTGTTTAAAAACAGTCTAGGCACAAAGCAGCACTTATGCTCAGACGACTGTGTACATTCCAGAAACTGGGAACTGCACAGCTGAGGGCAGAATTCTGTCTGGGCCCTCCATATCCCAGCTGGAACGCAGAGCTATGAAGTTGCCACCACTGCTGTCTGATTCTGGGACACTTTAGTCATGAGCTCAATTTAGACACCTCCTTCCTTCAAAGAGAAGCAGCCATGTCTTTTCCAGGCACTCAGAGAGCTAAGCAACAAGTCATAAAATAGCATGTACCTATTTAAGTCTGTGGAGTCTCTTCACTTATCCAAGTCAGCAGCAACTTCAGTTTGAAAGTCTTTTTGTTTCTTTTCAGCCCTGCACTCAGGACTGTTTGGATTGTTTCAGAAATAGATTTTCTTCCCTCTGAAAGGGGGGTGTTTCCCAACTACCTGGCAAAAATTCTTCAAACTTTTAAGGAAGCTGCTATAAATGTTCCTCCCCAGCTGAGAATTTAGGTGTTTGGTAAAAAACATTTTTCTGAAGAGAAGTTGTGATCTTTTCCCTTGCCATCTGGCAAGAAGCGTGACAAAGCCTCACACAGCACAGGTGCCTGAACTCCCCAAGTATCATTACACAGGATCCACAGGGATTGGTCCCAGTGCAGGGACATCCAGAGGCAGTCCAGACTTACCCCCACTCAACAACATGCGACTCATAGTCCCAGTACTCCCGGGGTCTGTGTGTGTTCACATCCGTGTAAACTCTGGCCCTGCTCGGCACGGGTCCCGACATATCAGACAGCTTGGCAGGCGGAAATGAGATGTGAAATCAGAGGCGACCTGGTCTGCAGTGCTGACAGAGGAGAAAGGCCTCAGATTCCTCCACCTGCAGACAGAATATAAACCAGAGGTTAAATTCTCAAGGTACTTCAGAAGTATTTAAGTTAATCATTAAAAGCTGCTGCAAAGGAGAGGTTGGAGTCTGCTCAGCCACAGGCCTGGGATAACTTGTGAGAGCTTGAAAGCCATTTGTCTACTCTCACTCACACAGAACCGGCCCCTAGCAAACCAACCCCCTGACCTGGTAACTTTCAGCACCTTGTTTCCAACTGCTGGTTGTAGAGGTAACTTTCCTAAAGGAAAGAATGCCATGTGCTCTGTATCTGCAGACAGATCCCCTCCTTTCCACTCCCGACTGAAAGCAACAGACACAGGCTGCAATCTCACCCCCATCGTAAGTCTTGGGGCCATCCAATGTAACAAATTCAATTCTGCTGGGATGGGAACCAGATTTAGTCACAGCTTCCTACAGTCAAAACATTAAATCTGACAGTCCAAAAGACAGCAGCATCTGTGTTGGATTATGATGCTTTAATCAAACATGAAAGAAAAGCACTGCTGCAAGGGTCTGAAGATGTTCCTTTGCATTCTGCTTGTCCAAAGTACCTCCAACCCTTCCTCCTTACAATGCCATTTTTGCAAAGCTTCTGGTAAGTTTTATCAGTATTGAGACTGGTCAAAACCACTTGAGAGGAAGGTACTGTATGTCAAGAGACAAACACTATTTTTATCCTTTACGTCTGAATATTTTACCACCCAGAATTGAATATTTAAGACAGCAGTAACTCACTACAGTTTTGTAACAATATTGTCCTACCTAAGATAAATATGGTGGTTTTACATCTCTCTAATCTTTCACAAGGGGAAGTTAATACCTTCTTAGATGTTTAAATATAAGAATCCCCTTGTCAGCTTTCAAAATAACTTAGCGGAAAGGGAGCTATACTGGAGCAGGGAAAAGCATTGTTTGGTGTGTAGCAGCATGTGGCAGGGCCATACAGCCCTGTGTATGTGCTCAAACAGTGGGCAACACTGTTATCTAAACTAATATACTTATTTGCTATGCCAATCTTATCCCTTCACAGAAAATGGGCAACTGCCAGACTGCAGAAGGAAGTAACAGTCCCATTAATCACACATTAATGAGAAACACCTAGAAATCTGCTTGGAGCAGTTAGCTTAAGCTACTAGGACATGTCACACCAGAAGAAAACTCTAGAAGCAAAATCCTGCTCTACAGGCAGGATTGTTGTTCATTTGAGGTCTGCAGCACTTCAGCTCCTGTGAGGACCCAGCAAGAACCAGTGGCTGTGAAGATGGTGGAGGACCTGGGGACAGAGGTCTGATGTCCTTCACTGTGTCACACAACCTGACCAGCAGCTGGTCCTGCTTCCAGAGGCAGAAGTGCAGGGCTCTCTGACATGGACAAAGCCTCCTTAGGTGGGACAGAGCTCAGCACTGTGTCATTTTTTTGACCTACTAACACACAAATGATGTTGGTGGCAGCTTCAGGTAGACAGGGTTGCACTAATCCAGTCCAAAGGTTAAACAGGGACACAGCACTATCCTAAAGTCCACAATGGAAGGGTGACTGAGGCCTTAGACCAATAAAAGGATGGGACACTTCAGCAGTGTGTCCAGCTAATGGAAGAATATGAAGCATTCCTAAAAATATAGTAAGTCTATTCCTGGACAAAATGCTAGTCCTCTCACAAAATACAATTTCAGAAGATGAGGCAGCAATCATCTAAGACCTCAAAGCATTCATGTGGCATGACTCAGACACTTAGAAATTAGATGTCCCCAGGCATTACTAGAGCATGCAAGTTTACTAGAACAGTTTCGTACAGTGAAATTTATTAGATTTCAAATCACTGTGTTTTTGTTTCTCCTCACTTCCTGTGCTTCTGTCAGGAGATGCACTGGCCCATTTCCTCTGCCCAATACTCCTTGTGAAGGAATTAACTGAACTTATACATGTCTCAGATGACTTAGCAATTTTAATTTTTAAGCACAACCCAGTATAAATAAAGCACATGATTGCTCCCCTCACCCAGCTTAGCAAGATTGGTTTCAGCACAAAAAAAAGTAAAATCAATCACATTATCTAAAGATAGATCAAATTTCACAGTGGCTATTTTTTGTCACGTAGCTCTAGCCTAGCTCAAGCAGCACATTGTAACAGGCTGCTCAGAGAAGGGCTTTTTCAGGAAATCATCAACTGCAGCTTCTAAGAATGGCACACAATGTCTATTTACGAGGGTAGGTATTATTGTCTACTGTTCCTTACACAGGAAGGGGAGAGAGTCTGCACAGATAACTTAATTTTAAAGCAAACAGAGTTACAGACATACACAAACTTACCCTGCCTGAAAGCTGCTCACTCTCTGCTCAAAACTGCCAAGGAATTTGTATAGATTTTTGCCTTCAGTGCCCCTGGAGGGGGATTATTTTGCAGTGTATCCAAGCTCTTTGGCAGAAGGGAATGACACAAATAAGGACAGATAATGGGGACAGGTGTTGACATGCAAGCGTCAGTTGAGCCTGCAGTTTTAAAGCAGAAAAATCTACAGTATGAGCAGTGATTGCATCTAGCGAAGTGCCTGAGCTTGTTATAAAAGATGAGTCCTATTTCTGCAGAATCCAAACAGAATGTTGTAATTTATTAATTCCTTCATTAATGACAGAATCACAAAATAATTTATATTGTGAGAGTCTGCTCAACATCATCTAATCAAAATAGATGCAGTGAGATCAGGGTCCAGTGTAGCCTTGAGCATCTCCAGAAACTACATTAAAATTTTAATTTCTCTGGTAGAGAAGTGTTTAGCAAGGAAACAACCATGAGCTTTTAGGCGGTGTACCAGAGGTCACAGAGAGAAGACAAAGCTCAGAACCACAGTCTGACATGCAGTTCACTGCCAAGGCCTGCCTGTGCAAGGACACAGAGCAGGGCTTCTCATTCAGCCCCTGTGGTGACACCCCTTGGAGAGATATCACCCAAAAAGGCTCACATGACAGCTACAGCAAAGGAACACTGTGCCAAAGTTTCACTGTTGGCTTTTCCCACACAGGCCTGTCCTCAAAAATGCCGTTGGAGTATTAGCAAACTGATAATTAGCTGATTTCTTACACAGCAGCCTTATCAAGAGGAACCCTGCTCATCCCACACAAGAACAGAGCCAAACACAGCTCCTGTCCTACTGACAGACTCCACAGGAGTGCCCAGAGCCCCAACCCAGAGACAAACAATTGTGCTGCCACCATATAGGAATTTTTTAATTGGAAGGCCTACTAATTAAAAAAGATCAGTTCTTAAAAGTTTGAATTCTTCTAACAGTAGCCTGTTGTCTGAGCAGCTTGGCAAGCTCAGACATTTTGCACCTAAAGTTCAATAAAATGGTAAAAAGCCTCTCAATGTTCTCTTTGATTTTAAAACATTTTAATCTAATCCAGTTGCAAACCCCCTCATTTTTAAAAAGGGATTCCATCATCCTTACGATGCACTCCAATTCTAAGGGCAACCATACCCCCATAGGGAATTGGATATTTTGTGAAGGATCCATACTTCAGCACCTACTCCAATTAGTACAGGAATTTCCTACACCCTGTCCTTCCAGATGCATGCACTTAGAGCAAGCAGCAACAAAATGCAGCTAAGAAATCCATGCAGATTAGTTTCTGAGAAACACACCTACTTCACCTCTAGTAAAATTTGCCTTTTTTTTAGTCCAGAATAACTGAGATACTGGAATGATTTTTTTTTCTCCTTTTAAATGGAAATGTTCTTGGCACGGAACCTCTCTCAACTTAAAATCTACAAAATTGCCCCAGTATGATGCAGCACTTACACAGGCTCCCAGTGAGCTGAAAGCCAAGAGCTTCCCAGAAGACTGGTGTCCCAAGGAACTTGCAAGTGCTATCCAAGTGATGACCTTTGTGGATAAGGCTTGGAGTATAAATAATGTACCCAAGAACACAAACACCGCTTGACACTGGCTTCCCTCTGGATTGCTGCTAACAGCATGCCTTGCCCTCAATGTGAACAGTATATTGCCAGGAAGATCCAAGTTCATCCAGATAGAGTGGAGTGAACCTAGAAAACCTTGTTCAACACCACATAAACCTGGTTATTCCTGATGACCCACCTGAACTCAGCTTCAGCAAGCCCACAGCAGTCCCAAAGGAGTAAAACAGGCCCTGAACTGCAGCAAGCTGAACTCAAAGAGCCAAGAAAACATTTCCGTAGCTTTATGAATCCCAGACAAGCTCACCTTCCTCTCCAGGAGAAAGCAAGGTGGACAGATCGGCCAAACAGGTCTAGAGACTTTCCTCTCACTTCTACTTTCCCCACGTAAGCTCATTACAGTGGCGATTGTGCCAGCCTAAGACTGTAAACAGGCTGAGACAGCAGCGGGTTTGTTGTGAGAGAAGAAAAGCTCTGTCAGTGGAGAAGAGCAGAATTACAGTGCAGTCTGGAATCAAAAGGTTATTCCCCTTCTTTCATCTACAACTGCAAGCAAGATGTTACCTTTCATAGCAGAAAGCTTCAACCCAGCCTCTAAAATCATGACTGTAAAATGTGATTTGGTAGGGTGAGCAAGAATTACAATTATCAGATAAAATTGCTGATTATTTCCTTCATATAGCTCATATAGCCCTGTAATCCTCCCAGAGAAGCACATTTGCTCCTTCAGAATTCAGAGAATATCTAATTCTGGAGAAATACTGAAATTAAAAAATCAAGACGTGCCTAAATATTACAGTACTGCCTGCTGGCAGTCAACATCAATCAACACCCAGCTTACTTTTAAAAGAAATCATAGTAATCAACTTTATTAAAAAAACATGCTCTATCTCAAAAAAGTAACCTGATTTGTGTGTTCTCATGATGATCTTCAGCAATACAAGTATGGAACAAATGACCTCCAGAAGTCCCCTGCAACCTATATTTTTCTGTGATTTTACAGCTAAAATAGAAACAAGCCTGGATTAACAAAATTGACATTTTACATCCTTTACTGAAGATCATTTACCTACTAAAGG